TTGGATTTGGTGAAAAATCTGAGTCACCTGTGAAGAGGTAATAACTACATATACAAAATCTTTATTAAGAATGTCTATGTATGTTATTTCTACTCATGATGCACAACGCACACCAATACAAATCATGGCTAGGCTTCGCGAACGAAGATTTGGGAAGGCACTACCCACGCTTGTTGCAATACAAAAATGACATGCTATATATGTATTTTATCAATAAACACAGGTAACTTTTTACAGAGGCTTTCCTTAAGAGGTTTCCTAGACAAGTACTGACCTAGCCAAGGCTACTGAATTTATACTGGGAAATGATCTTTAAAGAAATCTTCCAACACAACCCATTCTATATTTATATCTGTGATTCTATATTCTGGGATAAAAAGAGAAAAAAATAGCAAAGTACTTAATGTCTACTGTTATTTAAGCTCTAAGCCACTATACAATACCCTTAGGCATGCTTCTTATAATTCTGCAGAATCCAAATAACTATGGTTTATGAAACTGATATATAGTAAGTTTTTGGACTTGCTTCTTCTTCCAGATATTTAAAATCATATAAAAGAAAATATTTAGATAAGAACTCTAGAATGCAACAACCCACTCTTGCAGTGTTCACCAGACAGTGATCTCCCTGATTTCAGCAGTCAGCTGATCTCTCTGGAGTCACAAAAATATGACGCTTGTCAACAGTAGATAAGATTTGGCATGGAGCTTGTAGGTCAGCAGATAATACTGAATAGATATAAACGCCCATCCTGTGCTAGCTGGGCATTTCCTCTGAAAATAGAAAGATAACAGAGGAACAGGCTGACACCTTTGTGTCTCAAGAGCAAGATTTAAGGATTTTTTACTTCAATCCACAATTCGACACATTACAGTTTTCAAGCATTTAATTTTGCAGCTACCACTATCGTTTTGACTTTCTTTAACTTCTTATATCTTCCCTTCCCTCTGGAGATAGTAAAGAAATAAGGAGGATTAACAGAACAGCTCTCTGTCAGAAGCATAACCCATGTTTATTTTCCTATAGGACTTTATAAACAGGTACTGATATTTTTTCCCTGGGTATACCTACCAAAGGGGCTCTACAGAAATGTTTTCCTCTTGCATAACAGCACACATCTGGCTTGCTCCAGGCATGACAGTAAAGCCTTTTCATGCACAGAACAAGTCATTGTGCAATGGACACATGCTGAGTTGTCTGATAAAGAGATTTCTTGCAAATGATTGATAACATTACAGGAATGAGCAGTTGATTTCGTAATAATTTCTTTAATAGAAGAGACCAGTAAATGCCATATTGCAGCTGTTTGAATTCTGCAGCTGCCTGGGTGAATAATTTGGTTCTGATGTGGGAGATCTGGGTGTGCTGTGAGTGCACTAAGCAGCTTCCAAAACCACTTGAGCCAGTCAGAACTGTCCAACAAGCTGGGTGTGGGTCACAGGCTGCTAGGTGGATAGCCCTGCACTAGGTAACCTAATGGTCCCTTTTGGCCTTCATTTTTTATCTGAATCACTTGCTTTTGGAAAATAGTTATCTACTCATTGCTGCACATAAACACATCTTCTGAATTTTTGGTTTCACATCTGCAGTTCATTCGTTCCTGCATTTCTTCAGACAAAGAGGTGTTTCTTTTATTAAAGAAGGGGAATGTATGATTCATGCTTTTCTTCTATTCGTTTAGTATTCATTTTTCTCTGTTTGCTGCTTCACAGCTCCCCCTGTGAAAAGGAGAGGCTCATAACACTCAGTTTGGACAGATGATCTCCGCCTTGGAAGAGAACATACACTCTTCAGTAACTTTCCCAAACTCAGCTGAATGTTATGTCCAGAAGACTTACCAGATTATCTTAATAAATGAAGGATTCTCCAGTGTCATTGAGGTGATTCTGGAAAAGGAGAAAAGCATAGGGAATTTTTAGCCACACAAATAGAGGTTGAACTGGAGATACTAACAGAAAGCTTTTGGATGTTTGCTTAACATGTTCTTCCTCATGTAAATAAAATGCACTGTAAACAAGGTAATTTTTGGATTTACAACTAAATTGTATGTTTTTGTAACATAACTCTCGGAAATCCTAGAGGTGGTGCTGGGAAACAGCACACCCATCTCTGAGAGAGGAAAAGGGGAACCTGAAGAGTTGTAGCTTAATCAGTCTAATTTTATATTTAAATATAAAGCTATTCGGACAAAATAGGAACTGTTCATTTAAAAGCTTCCATCTAACCTCACAGTAAAATTAGATGGATGAAGCCATAGGAAAAAAAGAAACACAATAGCAGATACCATGGGAAAAAAAGTAAATGGGTAGAACAAACCACACATTAGTGAAAAACAAGCAAGTCAGCAACATTGTCTGGATAGGTAGAAGGTGCTGGAAAGGAAATTTTTAATTCTTGTGTTGTACTCTGCTACAGTGGTAACCTTAGCAATATTTTTATTTGAATTATAAACTATTATAGCTACAGTTCTTCAACTGAAAATTAGATCTCCAGTGGTTTAAACCAAACCTTTATATATTTTTAAATGCAGGAGGCATCAACACTGTTTATGTGCTGCTGTGTATCAGAAAAGAAGAATGGGTGTGGCAGGCAACTCCTAGATTGAAAACAACTATCTGAGCAGATCTACTAATAAGAACAACTAGCATTGTTACATTAGCAAGGCCATTAGTAACACAAACAAATAAAAGGGAAATAAATTTGACTTTTTAATATTGTTTTACAAACCATTAGTATTGACAAAACTTTCTTGTATTACTGTATTATAAAATGCTGCACAGAGTTTTAGGACTCTGCATATTAAAGAGTATATAAAAATTAGTTTGAACTTGACCAAATATCTACTATTTATGTTAGTTTGATGTTGTAGGATTTCTATGCTGAACAGCTGCCCTAACTTCATAGACATTTATCCTTTTAGTGGAGGAAGAATACGGCAAAAGTAATGCTGTAGGTGTGGCGCCATGGAAAAGGGATAGAATACATAAACAAGTCCATTTGCAGGCATTAACGCAGGTGAGCTCACTATAACACAGAGCCACTGCATGTGCATGCTCTTCAGTTGTCAGCATTGACACAGAGGCTGTCAAAAGGGTGATCATTGTGTCTGTTCTGATAAGTTATGCTGGTTTATTTGGATGAATACATTTTCACCTGGTGACAGGCTGTGAAGCCTGGATGACCAGGGGTGCCCCCGAAGACTCTGGCCTAGAAGAGAACCCCGAGTTTCCCATCGCCAGCACTCAGGCAGGGTGGCAGAGGGCCTGGTGTGACACCCAGTGGCATGCACTTGCTGTCTCCTCCTAAGGTGCCTCAGCCAAATAACTCAGGAGCTCCGCTGGAGCTGCAAGGTGCTGCCTGGGCCTCTCCTTCCTCAGCTGGGGAGCCTTGGAGCTGGAGGGGCAAAGCTGGACACCACAGAGTGGAACAGAAGCCTTGCTGGGCAATATTTCGTTTGCATATTTTGACACCACTTCATGATACTCATTTTGAGCACCATTCAATCTATATTATAAAATAAGACAGCGTTATGGAACTGCATGGAAGAGTGGCTCTGTAGCAGAGGGCAGAGACATGGACTAAAGGGAATCTCACGGGTGTGAGTCCTGTCTGTTAGGGTGCACGTGGCCCCACCACCCCATACCTTCCAGAATGTTCTGGCATTCCACACTAAGGAAAGTGGTCACTCACATAAAACACTGCAATACAACTACAAAGTGTGTATGGAAGAGGAGACACAGGTGTTCCCTGTCAGCTAGAGGAACAAAGTTGAGCTACAGAATTGATCAAGGCACTGGAGCATCTCTGCTACAAGGAAAGGCAGAGGAAGCTGGGTCTGTTCAGCCTCGAGAAGAGACAACTGAGAGGAGACCTCAATCAATATATTGGCTACCAGTATCTGCAGGGGAGATGCCAAGAGGATGGAGCCAGGCCCTTCTCTCTGGTGCCAACCAATAGGACAAGAGGCAAAGGGCAGAAACTGAACTTCTTTACTGTGTGGTGACCCAGCACTGGAACAGGTTGCCCAGAAAGTTCCCACACTGGAGATATTCCAGAGCTGTCTGGACGCAATTCGGTGCAATGTGCTTTGAGATGGCGCTGTCAGAGTAAGGTACTTGGACCCGATAACACACTGCCCCGTTCTGCGTCCCTCATTCCACCCCCTTGCCCGCCCCACCCATGCCACAGTCACGGACTACAACTCCCGGCATGCCCCGGGCGCGCCGGGCCCGCCCCTGCCGGCGCCGCGCCCCTGTCGCGTGTAGGTGAGCGCGGGGCAGGCCGGGAATGCGAGTCGGGATTGGCCGGCGCGCGCCCCTTTCCAGCGTGCGGGCAGCAGGAAGCGGCGGCGGCGGAGCGGAAGCGGCGCGGCGAGGAGGCTGCTCCTGGTGAGTCCCTGGCGGAACCGTCTCGCCACCTGCGGCGCACCGCCGCGCCGGGCCGCGACCCGGCCAGGATTGAAAAGGGATCGATTTAATGCGCGCTTTGATGACGTAATAAGGACTAACGAGGCGGTGGCGCTGCGAGCGCCCGACTCGAGCGGCGCGGCGGTCGAGCTTCCCCCTGGGACTTCCCCGCGGGGCCCCGCGCCCGCGGCGCTCGCTCGCCCCGCCCGCCACGGCGTGCCCGCGCGGCCGTGGCGCGGCGCCAGGCCTTCCGCCTTCCGCCTGCTCCGGGCACTCGCGGCCGCTCATTGGCTCTCCGCGCGGGGCGGGCTAGGCCTGCGCCTCGCGATTGCGGGCTGCGCTGACTGCAGCGGCACCCGCCAATGGGGCCGCGGGGGCGCGGGCCGAACCCCGGGCGCCGGGAGCTGCGGGGGGGCGCAGGGGCGGTGACGCGGGCGGTGGGAGGGGCGCGGCCGGCCCGCAGTGCGGGAAGGGGGAGCGCGGGAACGGAATTGGAAACGGGAACGGGAATGGGAGCGGCGCCTGCCGGGGCGGTGGCTCTGGGCAAAAACGTGCGGCTCAGTGCACGAGAGATTCCTGCTGCTTCCCTGCACAGCCCGCAGGTCCCCCTTGCCCAAGATGGCGGTGGTTTGGGCAGCCCGCTCCCGCCCCGCCGAGCTGCCCTGTGGGACCCGTGCGCTGGAAAATGTCTGGTGCCTAAAATACAAGGAGTTCCCGTTGTAGTCCAGGAGGGTGGTAGTAATAAGATGTTTCCGTTGAGGTGGATTTATAAAAATCTCTAAATCGTATGCATGTGACGTGAAAGGAGTACAGGCTGGAAAAGTGGTCAGTAGTTGAACGAGTCTTCCAAGAAAATTGGGTGAACAACTGAAGTATTCAAGTCTCCATCCCTCATCTGTGAGCCCGCTCATAAGAGGGAACTTGGATCACTTCTGTCCATCTTCCTGAGCTGTTCTGTTTTCCCAGCTGTACCTTTCTTTTCTTTGTCCAGAACAGTCGTGCTCCTACTGAACATGTGCTGTTCTGCCTGGCTTTCTTCTGCAGTATGACCGAGTTTTTAACATGAGAGTACTCAAGGAATGCTGCAACTTCGTTGAGATACACAGTAAATTCACGGTTTTTACTAGTTCTGTGTAAATTTATGACAATGAACTAGCTAACATAAGTTGTATGTCTCCTTACTCGTGTTTCGTAAGAGTTCTGAAAAAAAAACTTTTTAAAATATCTTGTAAAATATAGAGTAATAATACTCTATTATTTTGAGGGTTTTTTGGGATATTCCTCTAAACAAACAATTTGAAACTAAATCGCATTTGGGTAGGTAGAAATCATGAGAGTTGGAGATCAAAATCTTGCTTGTTTTATGGAATTATGTTTTTAACTGCAAGTTATCTACCCTTTTATGATTGTGAAAAATGGGCAAAAAGAATTAAACAGTGAAGTAAGTGGCTGACAACTTCCCACATGAGACTTTATGTGAAATACCAGATGGTGGAGGAAAGCAGGAGCTGCTGGTTGTCTCAGACCCATCATTACAGATGAGATGCAGTCACTGCAGCAGCAGCATCCACTCCCTTCCACCTCACCTTCCCCTGTAGGCTGGTCTCTGCCTCCTTGAAGACCCTGACAGGTTTCTGTTGCAAAAAGTGGAATATGTAAAATTTTCTTAAGAAAGGATGTTCTTTGATGTTTGATCTTTGTAAACTTTCAAGCCTGATCAACGACAATGGAGATTTAATCCGTGAAACAGAGAGAAGCCAACAAGCTCTAAGTGATGTCCAGGCATTAGAAAAACACATTACCTGTTGGTAGAACTGCCTTGTTAAGGTTTAGGACTGGACACACTTCAATGATTTCAGACCTAGGGGGAGGTTAACAAAGTCTGGGGAGAAGAATGCCCACTTACAGTGGACACAAAGAATGGAGAATTTACAGGCCACAGGGACATTGGGAGGAACCCCCAAGGTGAGGAAGAAACTAATAAAACCAACTCAGCAACTGTGCTGAAATCTGCTCCAATTGGGTAGAAGGTAATTCTGCCAAGGAGTGATCATGACCACCAACCCAAGAAACCTAAGGACTCCAGAGAAAGACTGAGAATGTGGATTAATTAGCATGAGAAGCAAGAGAATCATTAACCAGTAGAAGACAAATACTAATTAACAAGAAAACCATGTAATTTGTAGCCACTGAACACTAATTCCTTTGTTTGCTAAAATGCATAGTAATATAGTGTATAGCAATGTAGTAAAATAGTAATATAAAATAGTAAAAAGTTTTGATAGTTGGTGTGCTTCATTTGTGGAATACCACCGGGAACCCAGGCTTGCATAACTCTGAAACAGATAACCAGTGTCTCTCTTGAATGCTTAATTATTGGCTTGTTGCACGCCGTGTAATGAATCCGATTTTTGTGGGCATTTCCCTGGTTGGCAACGCAGCAATAGCAGGTGGAGCTGGATTTCCCTAAGTGGTTGCTTGTTCTCTACTTATTTTGTTCTCTTGGCAAAATGACTTCTCTGTGGGCGGTTTTTCTTGAGATGCAAGAAAGAGTGTGTTTTGTGGTGAAAATAGGAGCTCCATAATTCTTCTTCTCTGCGGCATTCTAAGTGTAAGCCGTGTTAATATGGGAGTTGAAGATGAGTGTTGCTGCATAGATCTGAAGTAATTTTGCCTGGGGGTGATTTGTGAAATGCTTTCATTGAAGCACTTGGAAGCTCTCCTGAGGATCTTTTGCATAAGCAGGAGACTAACATCTGCATCTCATCCACAGGCACAGAGTTTTGCTAAACCTCTTTATGTTTGAGATCCTGGGCAACTGCTACACCTATCTATGCCATCAGATTACAAGCATATGTGTCTCTTTAGAAAGGCTAGCAAAGAATATTTCACCTTGCAGGGGAAGAAGTGTAAGTAGGAGGGATGAATAAGCTTGGGTGTGACAGCAAATGAAATCCCTGGCAACTCCAGTGTACTTAGAAGTTGAAAATTGCTGCTCGATTACATGGATGCTTGAAGGAAGTAAACATCTTGTGTTCACAAGGAGCAAAATGTGACTTTAATATGAAATTTTTAAGAACTGTTCTTCTACCAGGTGGAGTGGTGGGATGGTGAGAAGTAACTTTATAAAGATTCTGATATTATCCTGCTGTGGTGTTGAATAATTAGCCATGGAGATGTTGCATTCCTGCAGTATTTGCTTTGAGGATGGTGGATTCTTGCTGAAACTGTAGGATAAAGAAATACGCTTATCCACTTTGACTGTTTTTTCATGTGTCTAAATAAGACAATATTCTACATCAGTAACTGTGCCATTTCCTACCTGTCAGCTCATATCAGGTAAAAAACCTGTTACCAGAACAATTTGTTGTTTCTATTGGTTTTATAGTCCATGCGAAGTTCTAGTTAGTTTATGTCTGTATAAAGACCTGACTGTGCACAGTATTTACCAAGTGGCACAGAATTCTTACTCTCACACTGTACTTTTTTGCAGACCAGGTCTTTTGCCATGGAAGCTGAGGAAACGATGGAATGTATCCAGGAATTCCCTGAACACTATAAAGTTATTTTGGATAGACTGAATGAACAACGTGAGCAGGACCAGTTTACAGATATCACCCTGATTGTTGATGGTATGTATGGGCCTGGGAACCAGCTGGTATACAGGGAATTCTAAAGGCTGTGCTAGGATGCTGTTGGGTTTGTCACAGGTTTGTCAGACTGGGCTGCAAACAGGCTGGTTCTGCACTGTGTGCGAGTTACTTGCAAAGTTTCATTTAGCATCTCAGGGTCAACAGACTCCAGCAGTGATTAATAATTTTGCTTCTGCTTTTCCAAACAAAGGGCTAAGTATTTTCAGATAGAAGCCCTCTCTGAAACTGCTGTGCTATACTTAACGTGCTGTCTAAAGATTTCCAAAACATTATTAAAATATTTTTCTCTGACTTGAGCTGACTGTTTGCACACAGAGAACTTCTACAAATACTGTGTCTCAATAAAATCACACCTTGAAATAAGATTTACTTCTTGCTTCTCTGGTATTTGGTATCATAACTTAAATATCTGAAAAGAAAAACACTGGAGTGACTGAGTCCTCCATCTGGTTGAGTTACCTTTAGCAAGGTAAGCAATGTCACCAAGGTTCTGCAAGAGATGGGATAGGATAGCTGCAGTAGTATCCCATGTTTTATGGAGACACAGTGACTGTATGCTACTGGAATAGTGGAATAGTTGTTTAGACTGGCTAGTCTTTTTCTGCATCTACACTTATTTTGCAGTATGGAGGGAGTTATGTTACCCTAAACCGAAATTTTTGTCTCTCTTTGCAGGTCACCATTTCAAAGCTCATAAGGCTGTTCTTGCTGCCTGCAGCCAGTTCTTCCACAAATTCTTCCAAGATTTCACTCAAGAGCCTTTGGTGGAGATTGAAGGTAATCTGATTTGTACAATTAAAAACACTCAGAGTTGTGTGCTCAAGTTGGAAATTAATATAGCATCCTTGGTACAGGCCTACATACATAGAATCATAGAATGTTAAGGATTAGATAGGTCCTTGAAGATCATCTAGTCCCAACCTTGCTGTCATGGGCAGAGATACCTCCTGCTAGACCAAGCTGCTCAAGGCCTTATGCAGCCTGGCCTTGAACACTTAAAGATGATTGGTCATATAATTAGCTTTCTAGATCTTACCTCCTGAGTTGTTCTGAGACAGCTATCACCACTGGAAAAAAAACTTCCCCTGAAGAAAAATCAAAAAGAAAAAGAACACTCTTGAATTAAATTGTTGGAAGGGAAAATGTGAGATTATGTGGGTGCTTTTTTAATTTTTTTCCTTTCTTTCCCCGATACATGGCTAGTGGAGGTCAGGCAGATCCTGTATGTTTTTAGAACTTGCAGTGTGACAAAATCTTTTCCCTGAGAAGAGCCAGTCTGGTCAGATGAAAAAGGTTGACAGTGATGGCCAATGGCAGATGCCTTGGCTGGGATGCAAAAGCGTGATAGACATTGAGCAATACTTGTGTGGTAGGCAAGGAGCAAATTCCTGGAGCAGTATTTCACCCTCCGGTACCTTGCTGCTCAGAGACCTCTTGAAAGAGGGATAGTATTTTTGTGTTTAAATCTATATATTATTCAAACAGCTTTTTGTCCATCTCATCCTTCTTTTTATCTTTGTCTCAGCAAAACTCCACAGTGTTCACATGTTTCTGTAGCAGACTTTCTATTCCAACACAAGGGAGGTTGGAACTAGATGATATTTATGGTCTCCTCCAGCCCAAACCATTCAGTGGTTCTGTGGAGCCTTTTAAGAGTGTTATCTTTATGAAACTGGCAGGTACAGTACTGTGATCACAATGGTGTGCAGGCAAGTGTGCAAGATTCATCAGGTAGATGAGACTGAGGAATTGCTAAAAGAAACTGTTGTTTCTCTTTTCTGTATACAGGTGTAAGTAACATGGCATTTCGTCACCTAATTGAGTTCACCTACACAGCAAAACTAATGGTCCAAGGTGAGGAAGAAGCAAATGATGTTTGGAAAGCAGCTGAGTATCTACAGATGCTAGAAGCAATCAAAGCACTTGAAATTAGGTAAGCACATCAGCCTCTTTTTCTTCCCACCACTTAAAATATAGAGTCTTAAGCATCCTTTTGTAAGAGCTGGCTGCCAGTATTTTGCAGTGCTGTTCCTTATGCTGGAACCTCCTTAGCATCTGTAGCACCATAACTCTTCTACTATGGTGTACATGTCAGAAATATACAGGCTAAAAAAAGAATGTCACATTCTTTGGGCTGTAACTCAATGGCAAGTGACATGGCTCATAAATGTTGCCAAAGTTGTAGGGTTGTGTCTTTGTGGTAACTGATACCAGGTCTCTGTGCTGCCTGAAGGCCCACACCTGACTGACAACTGGCTGCACAGTGACATTGTGCCTCATGTAATCAGAACACATTAACAAGTTTGTGCTGATGTTTGTATTTCATGCAGCTTTCTGCTATTCTGAGAGAATAAGCAGTGATCTTAAAATTTCTTGCTTGCAAAACTAACCTGTCAAATTTCTTGAATGAATGTAACTGTTGTAGTCAGTTTTATCTGGGTTCAATATTTAATCAAATGTTGCTGTGGCAGCTTTTATCCTCTACCAGAAACTGTACTCCATTGCCAAGCTTGAGAAAAATGGGTGCCAGTCCCATCACGCTGTTTTTCATCCCCTTTCTTCCCTTTCACTTCCACGAAGTGCTCTCACGTTCTTATTCCTTCTGCATGCTACACTGCTGGTTTTTGGTGCATGATCCTAGAGCTCCTTGCAGTAATGTGCAATGTAACTATCATCTTGTAGACATCAGAAATCCAGGCTAGATGAAACTGAGTTTAGCTACTCTGTTTCCCTGTGTGTGACTAGAGTAAGGTGCAATTTGATAAGCTGTGTCCTGCATTACATCATTAGTCACATATCTCTGACATATGACTTGGAGATATTGGGCCAAGTCTTGTCTCCTATTACTAGAAAACGTGGAAATGATAGGGAGTACATTACGTGAAAGGATTCATCCTGCTGCAAAGGAGGGTAAAAGCATGGCTTACCCCAGTCAGTCTGTTTGAGGGGGAGGTACCCACTTGTTTTCAAAACTGATAATCAGTAACGAAACCTGCAGCACAGAAGTGCTGTGAATGACTTGACAGCATTGACCTGCTCAGTTCTGTCTATGTTTGAGATGACATGCAATCTCTGACATTTTGTAGGAAGGGGAGTTGAGCGTGTGTTACACAGGGAAAATAGCAACAGAACTGAGGGTTGTGTCCAAGCCCAGAAAATTAAACTAGCATACTCTTTCCACATCCTGCAGGCTTTTACCTCAGCTGTTAGCTGTGTGCTTTCCTGAAGTACAAGATGCTGTGATAACCACTGTGTGAAGTCACAGCTGTAGTGTTTTCTAACAAGCTCCTAGCACTGTGGGAAGCTGCACACACTCAGAGCTTAAGAATTGAAGAGCATAGGAGGGACTTGAACCTTATTTCTGAGTAGGCAGGCCAAAGTACTCTTTCTTTTGGGGGATTTTTCTTTCCAAGTACAGAACTTTACAATTTTTTTAGATAAGTCTGTGTCTTAGGTTAACCGGCCTTTCTTCTTGATAGGTGCTTTGTGTCATTTGAGCAGCACCTTAGCAGCTTTAACCATGCTATTTTACTACACTAAGGAGCGTAGATCAAGCACAAATTAGCTTCTGACATGCACACAGATTAAGCAGTCATTCACCACTCAACTTTGAGAAATGGCTAGAGAGTGTTGGATGCAGAAGCTGATTACTAGGCAGGAGTTCCTATGTCAGTGCTTATGGATCTTAACAATGTTTATGCAAATGATTTTCAGGAACAAAGAAAATTCATCACTCTTAGAATCAAATGAAGCACAAGGTAAAAATAAACCAAAAAAGAGGAAGATTGCTGAAACCTCTAATGTTATCACAGAAACACTGCCATCTGCAGAATCAGAGCCTGTTGAAATTGAGGTTGAGATTGGAGAAGGGACGATGAAAGTGGAAGACGACAGCATTGAAACACTTGAAGAAGTAGCTTCTGCAGAGCAATCCATAAAGTACATACAGACAACAGGTACATCAGATGAATCTGCTTTGGCTCTTTTGGCAGATATCACCAGCAAGTATCGTCAGGGAGAGAGAAAATGCCAGATCCAAGAAGAAGGTGATAATGCAACTGATCCCTCGTGCAAACAGGTAGAAGGTATTGAAATTGTGGAACTTCAGCTGTCACACATGAACAATTTATTCCACTGTGAGAAATGTAACCGTTCATTTAAATTGTTTTACCATTTTAAGGAACACATGAAAACACACTCTACTGAGAATTACAAGTGTGACATATGCAATAAAAGATACCTACGAGAGAGTGCTTTGAAACAGCACCTCACCTGTTACCACCTTGATGAAGGTGGTGTCAGCAAGAAGCAAAGACCTGGCAAGAAAATACATGTATGCCAGTACTGTGATAAGCAGTTTGACCACTTTGGACATTTTAAAGAGCACCTGCGGAAGCACACAGGTAAGAGCACTGCTACAGTCCGGAGCTTGTGGCCTTCGTTCTCACATTTTGGGGCTTTGCATGTTTTGGGGAAATAGAGAATATGCTGAAGAAAACACATGAGTCCTGAGTGATAGAAATACTTGGTTTCTAGTTACAGCTAAAATGCTGGTGTGTCTTTTTGTTTGGTTTTTTTTGTTGTTTTACATTGATGTAAACTTTTGAGGGTTGAGTTGATTAAAAATATGCACCTAAAACCAGAAGGCACTAATGAAGCTTCTCTGTCAAGTCTACTAAATCTTAAAGATTTTTTTCAAAATACCTTCTCAAGGCATATTCCTTTCTTCAAAAGTGCCAAACTAAGCTACTTTTATTTTCAAAATTTTCTGATAAAAGTTTCTGTTGAAATATGATCTGATCATGAGCTTCTTGGTGGAATACAGTCTAGAGCATTTCTTTATCTAATAGAACTTCTTAGCAAATGCCTATTAATGCATAAAATACCCTCAAAAAATTCTCTCTTGTGCCATCTTGTTTGGAAAGTTTTATCCTTGCTCTTGACACCTCATCTGTGATTTGAATTTTCTTTGTTAATTAAGCAAAACTACTAGGAACAGCAGAGCATTTCTAGTCACTCTAGTACACTTTTCGATTGTGAAATTTGCCTCTTTGAAATCTAGATAGCATTTTTGGAGTACAAAGTGACTTGTGCTCCTTATTTCTTCCTTATAGTATGGGACATTACTTCATCTCACTGAAAAGTCTACTGTCTGAACAGATACCAAGCATGACACAGATAACTCTGAATGTAATATATATGTGGTCTTGATCTTCCAGATGTTTTTGTTTAATATGTCAGTCATGAGTCATCAGAAAAAATTTAATGAAGGGTAGCAGCTCTATTTCTGTTTCAGCTTCTTACTGTTAAAGCCTTTTAATTAGAATGGCTTAATTTAATTAAAATGTATCTGTGTATGGGACTGCTGAGTATTGAATATATAGCAGTGTCCAATCTATTCCAATAACCTCTTAAAATTTCAGTTTATAAATAGTTTTTGGCAAATCCTTATCCCCTATGAAGCAGGGAGTGTTTCTCCATTATGAGCAATCCAAATACAAGCTACTTAACAAAAATCTCTTCAGAAAAAAGTTTGTGGCAGATAACAACATATTACATACTTTGGGTTAATCTGGTTTGCTCTTGCAAAAGAGTATTTTTGGTTCAAAGGAAGTTAGCATATCACAGAAGGTACAGAATACTTTATATATTGATCTAATAAGTATAACACGGAATCTAATTACTTCCAGTTTAGCATTTTCAAAAGCCTTAAGCTCAAAATCAAAACAGATATCACCATTTAACTCCTAAGGTCAGTGGAGAAACTCCCATTCAGTCACAGGCTTTCTGAATCCCAAATTCTGCATAGCACTGGTTGAATGCTAAAATGAAACTGAAAGGCCTGGGACAAAATGAACTAAAGTGTTTGATCCTATTGTTGATCAGTCACTATGCCAGAAATTACATGAAAATAGTAACTGCAGCAGAAATAGAATCATAGAAAGGCTTAGGTTGGAAGGGACCTTAAATATCATCTGGTTACACCCCTGGGACCATGGGTAGGGAACCTTCCACTACACCAGGTTGCTCAGAGCCCCATCCAACCTGGCCTTGAACACTTCCAGGGATGGGGCATCCACAGCTTCTCTGGGATGCCTCATTACCTTCTGAGTAAAGAATTTCTTCCTAGCATCTTATCTAAACCTGCCGTCTTTCAGGTGAAGGCCATTCCCCCTTTGTTGTATCACTCCATACCATTGTAAAAAGTCCCTCTCCAGCCTTCCTGTAGGCTCGCTTTAAATACTGGAAGGTGCTGTACTGTCTCTCTGAAGCCTTTTCTTCCCCAGTCTGAACAACCCCAATGCTCTCAGCCTGTCTTCATAGCATACTTTCCAGGAGGATCTGCTCTGTGATTTTGCTGGGAGCAGAGGTGAGACTGACTGGCTTGTACTTCCCTTTGTCTTCCTTATTTTTCCTTTTTAAAAGGGTTATGCTTCTGCTTTTCTGGTCAGTGGGAACTTGACCAGGCTGCCACACCTTTTCAAAATTTATGGATAGTGGCTTCCTCTACCAGCTCCCTCAGGACCTGCAGCTTTCTCTGTGTCCCGGGTAACCAGGTCTCCTATTTCCTTCTGGAGAGCACCCACATTTTTCCTAGTCTTTTTATCACCCCTGTATCTAGAGAAGCTTCTCTTGATGCCCTTGATGTCCCTGGTCAGGTTTAATTCAAGGAGGTCTTTAGCCTTCCTCCCTAACCTTATCTCTCTCTGTTCAGACAATCTCTCTGTATTCTTCCCAGGCTACCTGTCCTTGCTTCCACCACTCTAGGCTTCCTTTTTGTGTTTCAGTTTTTGCAGAAGCTCCTTGTTCATCCACACAGGTATCCCTCTGCTCTGTAGTACTGTAGTTAGTAGAGACCTTGAAGATCATCTAATTCCAACCTGATTAGTTGCTTGGTCAAAAATCCGTGATTTTTGACCTGCAAAACTGAAGGCAGTTCAGCATCCTCTGCATTACTTTTACAACAGTCTCCAAAAATGTAGCCTTTTGTAACCATTGAGGGCAATGTTCCTGTCATTTAAACATCTTTGTCTAGCTTTCAGGTGTTTTAAGTGAGAATTGTGGATTTCTTTTGAAAAGATAATTAGGAGCTTTTGAATATTTTTGAAGATGTGGGTTTATTGGCTTTCCACCTCAATATCCAGTAACTATTGCATTCCTGAAAATGCAGGCTTTTAAACTAACTCGGATAGATTCTTAGGTATTCACTGAAATGGCTCTTTTGGAGTTCATTGAGCAGTTTGTTTCGGTAGTGATGTTGTACCTCCCCAGGTTAATTATCAGACTTTCAGAAGAAACACACTCTTCCAGTTTTCTTGTAATTTAATTTGCTTGAATTTCAGAGTGTTTGTGCATGGTGGAATTAGTAAAGAGAGACCTTTTGTTCATTACTACTTGATAATAGTACACTGCTTTAGATGATAAAAAGATCGGTTTTCAGCCTCCTCTGTTGTCGTCCTTAGCTGGCTTCTGTGTTTGATACCATTGTTAAAAAGAAGTGGTCAAACTGAAAGGAATTTTGTCTTGCTTGTGCCCATTTATGTCCTTCTGTGCTTGCTTTTCACTGTATTTTAGGAGAGGGGGGGGGGGTTTGTTCGTTTTAACACTAATGGATCGTTATTTCATTATCATTCATCATGTGCCACCTTCTTTTTCTGGAGCTCAGTTTCAGCTCTCAAGCATAAACTGTTACTGTTGTTAAAAATAAAAGTTTACATTATTTAGATACTTCTTTAATGTGTCACTTTGTATATTTACTAATGTTGATATTTTGATTATAACAATTATCAGATGAAAAGTGAGAAAAAGCTGCTATTTCTTTAAGATACTTCATTGGAATAGTAATCTAATTTCCACTAAATTTATTATCACAAAAGCGAAATGTACCTTAAATGGTACTGGTAATTGTTACATTGGTTTTCTTCTAAATGAGAGTTATGACTCCACATTTGGTTTTTTGCCCTTTTACATGGCATATCCATCTCTTCTTCTCTAGAATAATCCAGCTGGCCACATCTTTACAGTGTATTTATCAACCTAGACAAGAGGAAGAAAGGGGAAGAAGAGAGACCTGACAGAAGACTGGGTGGTTTTATACATTTACAAATCCTGTGTTTGTTTTAACAGGTGAAAAACCATTTGAATGTCCAAACTGCCACGAACGTTTTGCTAGGAATAGCACACTCAAATGTCACCTGACAGCCTGTCAGTCTGGAGCTGGAGCCAAAAAGGGAAGAAAGAAGCTCTACGAATGTCAGGTGGGTAATGGAAGTAGCAGAGTCCCAGGCTAGATACCTTCCTCCTTTGAGGGAGTGGGGGAACTGAACAAGAAAGGCAAGGAGAGTGGCCTTATGTCTCCAAGAGCTACTTCAGTAAAATAAAGGTCACATTCAAACACAGTATGCAGGTAAATTCTTATGTCTAAGTAGCTCCATTTAAAATGTGGAATTACTGATGTGGAGCCTCATAATACTTATAATCAGAAAGATTCTTATGGGAAGGCTGCCTTTTACTGGTCTTTCTGCTTCCTTTTCAAGGTTCTCGATGCACTGACCTAGGCCTTTTCCACTTCTGACCACGCTTCACTAAAGTTCAAAATACAAAATAATATTTTATTTTTTATTTTACTATTATTCTCTTTTGTACCACACATACTGACTTTATCTGGAAAGTAATTCCAGCTTATGCTGGTGTTGCCTAAAGATCGGGAGCCAAAAAAACTCCACGCAAATTTAATAGAGATAAGATAACAGAGCGGGTCTTTAAGGAAGGCCCTCTGACCATGGGAGTACAGAAAAGATGCACGTGCACCGTGTCCAGTGGTTCTACAATTTTATAGTATTGTCCATCCAATCCCAGAACTATCTGCCCCCCAGTTCCTCCCCAAATCTGCCCCCAGCATGCCTCTCCAGAAATTGAGTCAGGGGTCCTGAGACTCCTTTCTTTCTCATCTTCCTCTTCTTCATGGCACATATTGTCTTTGGAGCTTCTCCAGTTTTCCAGACTATGATGGTATCTTGTTGTTCAGGCGTGGGATGCAAATATTCTTAAACAGAAGATGTTTTCTACAATTCTACCTTGAAAGGGGCCTAAACAAGCCTAAAGAATTTAGAAAATTTGATATGAAATGGGGAAATAGGGTTTAGTGAGTGTAAACTACTAAAGTGTGAGACACTCTACAATTATATTAAAAATCTATATTTACTACATAGCTACTTTAAAATCTACAAAAAGCTAAAAATCAAAAAAATTCAAATATGTCACTGGCAATCTGTAATGTCTTTTAAGCAAAATAAATGTTGTAGAGCTTGTTAGGGTACTTGGTCACTGTATGTAACTGTCATTTGAAAAGCTGTTCAGATAAATTTTAATTCACTTTTAAAAGCAATTCTGAAGAGCTAGAAAATAAAAGAGCTGAAGTTGGTTGTAGCATTTTTATTTGCTGTTTTGCTGCCCCACTGCTGTGACAATCTCACACCACCAGGTGGTGGGGGGAGTGCTCCCCCTGTCCAGGGACTGACAGCTGCTCTGGGGCTGCCCCAGGAGGCTCCAAGGGTGTGGGATATGACATCACCACACCTCCATGAAATTTGACCTGTCCCTTCCCTCCCACCCCCCCACACACTTGAGTTGGTCCAAGCCAATAATTAATACACTAATCCAGCATCTTACAATTGGTGACCCTTCGGTCTAATTACTTCATGTCATAGCTTTGTCTTTCTGTATTTCCTCATCCTCTCCCAGATGTTGTGACTGTGGCTTAGTACCTCTTCAGCCTGAAAAAGTTGCAGCAGGTCTTGGATAAATTTTACTTTAATTTTTCACTTTTTTTCTTCAAATGCTTTACTGACTGACAAATTTTGTCAGTGTCCTATGCAGGCACAACTCAAAGTAGCTCACTGTTCTTAAAAAATTAATAAATAAATACCAAGTCTTCTGTTTGTCTGAAGCTTGCTTCTCAGCTTTTACATCTAATGTCTGTTTTTTGAATCCAAGTAGCAAGAAGCCACACTATGTGAAGCTATGATCTCAGAGAGGCACCATACTTTGTAATATTTCTGTTGGCACTGTTTAACATACTGTATCTTTTGTTTCAGGTTTGTAACAGCGTTTTTAACAGCTGGGATCAGTTCAAAGATCACTTGGTAATACACACTGGTGACAAACCCAACCACTGTACCTTGTGTGATTTGTGGTTTATGCAAGGCAGTGAGCTGAGAAGGCATCTCAAAGACATGCACAATATTTCAGAACTACTGGTGACAGAAGAGGTTCTTCCAGTGGAAGCTATGGAAGCTGAACCAGTAACATCAATGACAATAATAGAGCAAGTTGAGCAAGTCCATGTCCTACCAGTAATTCAGGTACAGGTGGATCCTGCACAGGTAACTGTGGAACAGATGCACCAGGATCTCATACAGGACAATCAGGTGAAAGGCACACAGATGGAGGAACTGCAGGAACAGGTGCAAATTAGTTACTTGGAAGTTGAACACATTCAGACTGAACAAGGTGCTGAAGTTCATGTGGAGCAGTTACATGTTGAGCATGTAAATCAAATACAGATGGAAGAGGTACAGGCAGAACTTATAGATGGAACACACCTTGAACAAGTAGAATATCAAAGTGTTGATCAAGGAGAAGCAGAAGAAAAGGAACCTAATCAAATAGATGATGCGGATAAGGAACATCATGAACAAGCTGAAGACTTAAAAACACAACAATTAGTGGACATGCAGAATGAAAACATGGATGACTAAGACAAATAATGACACTGCAGGTTTAGGAATGAAATACCAAATTATTTTTGTTAACTTTTACATTGGTTTTTGAACTGTCAGTGGTCACCTTTCCAATACGCTGTCCATAGGAAGCTGGACCAGTGGACCAAAATTAGCTTTATTCATGTACAATTAAACTTCTCTCATATGTGAAAAATAACTTTCCCATTCATGTAATGCCATGGAACAGAAGCTACCGCAGACATGGACACCTTTGTGAGGTTTTTAGCAATTAATAGCTTGTATCATTGTTACACCATTCCTGGGTATATGTAAGAGTAATTTCACCTCTTTTCCTCTTGCAGTAGAAGCAAACTCTTGTATAGTATTGCAGGGTGTCTGTGGCAGAAGAATCACTAAAATCTGAGGGTTTCTATTGTAAGTGGCAATTACATACCTGTGAATTTTCAGATCTTTCAGGCTGGGCTAAAATTAGCATTGTTGCTGGAGGTGTCTGAGCACAGAAATCCCGTGCCTTTTCAGCACTGACTAGTTAAACTTCCCAAAAGTTTCTAGAGTTTTTGAGAATTTAGTTCTGTAAAAGGCAATGTAGGTAATGTTATAGTGCTTTATATTTTTGCTTAAAATTGTCAGCTACTGGTTTTGTTTTTGCATTAAATTTAGAGGTGGGGGGCTGAGGGAGGGAACAGATTCCACATGGAGGCAGCAGGACACTCTAAAAGGGACACTTAAAAATAGAAAAAACTTGGTAGAGTCTGTGGCAAAGACAAATCGGATAAAAGCTACTAGCAGACTCTTCTTTTATAAGTAATCATTTTTGAAAATGAATATGTTTAAACATATAGAGATTTTTCTATATGGTATCAGGTTCTTGGTTTTTTTGAATAGAAATTCTGACACTTGACACAAAGATATGCTAAACATAAAAGTAAAAGCCATAGGTATGAGTGGTAAACTGTGGATTGAAAAATAGAAATGTAAATAGTTTAATCAATATTAGACAATAAAACAATACCAACCATTAAATGTTGCATTACTTGTTTTATCCATTAGGAACAACTGAGTGGCAATTACAGTGCCAGCTTCCACTGTTAAGAATCAATCACATTTTTAATATGATTATTATCTCTTTACTGTGAAGTTAGATTCGTTTAGAAAATACTTGTCTATCTCTATGCTCAAGGATACTATGAACTACTAATTCTTAATTACTGCTGGAGGTTAGAGGTGCTCCACATTTCTGAAAAACTATTTTCAAAGCCTTAAATGGAGGAATTTTTGCAAGGACATTCCTAATGCTCTTGGTAATCTTGTAGGTCTTAGCTAAAATCAGGCTTTTGTATTCCATGTTCAAATGCAGAACTATTTCCTGGGATTTGTGCATTTATTTAGTCTCATTCAAGAGTATGTTTCATTGTAGCTTTTGAGAAACTGTTGCAAAACAAACATGGATCTCAATTAAACTTTCAAGCAATTTGATTAATGTAACTTGCATTCTTTTTTTTATTATGTTTTGTGTTTTCTGGATGCAAGTAATTTGTGATGAGATTCTGTGCAGAGGGAAGAACATGGCCCAGTGTTAATCATGAAAATAAAATCAGTTATTATATTTATACCTGGCTTCTGATAAGCAGCTTGTCTTTTGATAACATGGAGGGGACAGGCCTCCTTGCTTAGCTGCATAACGCTGAAATTGTGGGGGTATTTGTGCATAGAGACAAAGTCAGTCTCTGTGGAATTAAAGGAAGGATCCGTGTGCCTGACCAGTGAAACCTACTTTTAGGTAATTAAAGTCCAATGTCAACTGAACAGTTTCTGGGTATTGGTAACAAGGCCAGTGGTTTGGTAAGCACAGTTGGGCCATTTCTTCATTCAGTTTGATCTCCCCTTTCCAATAACAGTTCATGAATTTGGTAGGAGAGAAACAAATAACACCCAAACCAGTGGTGTTGGGCCCACTGGTAACCCGTCTAGATTCCCTCTGAGCCTGGGTGGGAGCATGATGGGATTATGACTCGTCCCCTCCTCCCCCGAAGGGACAGGGACAAAGACTCTCCTCAAGTGGTAGCTCTGCTAGAGAGCCTTCCCCCCCTTCCCTGTAATTCCCTTCCCATATGACTGAAGCCCAAAATGCTCCCATCCGTGAAGTCCTTTGTGCCTCCTTGCTGCAACACCTGATCCTGAAGGAGGGAAGGTTGATGGGGGAGTGGAAGGTCTGGAAAAGCCACCTTGCCATCCTCTCTCAGCCCCCAATGTCTGTATAGGCACGCAGACCTCTCTAAGCTCCGTATTCCCTATGCACTGTTGGAAGAGTTCTTCCCCCTAAACACGCACGCACTGCAGGTCCCCGGAGCCCTGCGCGACGCGTGTCCTGGGAGTTGTACCTTGGAACTACGCCAGTCTGTAAGTTAAAACTCCTGAAGCCGGGAAGGGGGAGCAGCTGTAGCTCCTGGGATGCGTGTGGGGGGGGCCGGGACGGCCTGGAGGTGCCAGTGGGGAGGGGGGCTGGTCGACGCTGCCCGGGTCCGGAGCTGTCCGAGGTTTGGAGGCTCCCGGGTGCCGGGGGTCTCTCCGAGGCAGCGAGGGGAGCGTGTGTCAGCGCAATGGCGGCTGGGGCAGGAAATGGGCGCGCGCGGGGACTGCTGCTCCCGGGATCGGGATCGGGATCCCGGGAAGGGAAGGGCCGGACCGGCGGGGCCCTGCGGAGCCGGGGATGGAGGTGGAGGGAGGCAGCTGGCCCTCAGGTACCCGCGCTTCCCTCGCCAGGGAGCCCAGCCAGCCTGGGCACCGGGGATCGCGGGCTGCGTGCAGGCGAAAGAACCACCCCCTCGAGCATCTGCTAAAATGCCGCTGAGGGAGTTATTACTGATAATTTCAGTAATAGCAGGTCGCTGCTGTTCTGGTTTGTGAGTTGGATTGCCTAGAGGAAGTATCCTGGCGAAAAGGAATGATGGAGACATTCCAAGACCACCTGGACGCGAACCCGTGTTATTCCAGGTTAACCCGTGTTATTCCAGGTTACCCCGCCTTGGCAGGGGCGTTGGACTGGATGGTCTCCAGCGGTCCCTTTCAACCCTAACGATTCCGTGGTTCTGGCATTTCCCGGTGGGCTTATTGGTGCATTTTCCTAACGCTGAGGCTTTTTCAAAACCCTCGGAGCAACATGAGGCTATACCTCATAACGGGTTCCATTTGTTATTTAAATGCAGATTCTTTGAGAGAAAAATGTGTCTTACCTGACACCCTCTCACATTTAGAATTAATGGGAGCCTGAGGCAAAAATATTTTCATTCGAAGAAATCCCATCCTGTGCTTGACCATGGAAGGAGCAGAGACACACTACTAAGTTTTCTGGTTGGGTTGTTATTCCTTAGATAGTGTAATATTTCCATATAGCTCCAAAGCGTCAGGCACAGTCACTTCCCTAACAGCAGGTATCAGAAGAATGCTCCTTTAAGGATGTAGTCTGGCATTTCAGTTGATTCACACCAATAGATTTGTTGATATTATGGGTACACACATGTTCCAGCATGTTTAAATGGTCCCAGTTCAGGAAGAAAACTGAAAACTGATGCTTGTTTTCAGAGAGAGAAGAGTGTTTGTTTATATGTATATAAAAAAAATCCACCTGAATTTAAGATGTATAAGTCTATCCAAAAGGGTCCTAAATTATATATATGATATTTTTTCTTGCACTATGTATTTACTTTTTAAATATTTTCTCAGATCTATACCAGTTCCAGGAGCTGAGCAATCTCATGACTGTAAATGAGCAAATAATTTGATTGAGTTTATTTTTCCTGTCCACTTAAATATTACCATCCATCTTCTAGTGCCTTTACTTCAACTGAGACTTCTTTTCTAAATAGTATCTTATCTCACAACGAGACTCGAGGACTTCATAGATAGATAGATAGATAGATAGATAGTTAGTAGGTCTGTTTTGGAACTACAAAATAGAGATGCCTGAATATGCTGATATTCCTCTACTTAACAATTGCTTGTTTGGAATATTTCCAAGTTGTTTTTTTTACATCGCACCTTCTGGGGTATTTTAAAAAATATTGTCCATTTGTGGAGTCCGTAGATTTATCAGATGAAAACAGTGATTTTGTAAACTAAGACAGGATTTGCACTATTGCAAATGCAAATAATTCATTATAATGCATTCTGATCTTACTAGGCAATTTCGAAGGCAATTAAGTGGCACTGGAAAATATTTGGTTGTTCATACTGCCTCCACATTGCAATAAACTGATCTATTAGCCCTTTGCTAAAAAGGATTTTTCTTTGGTTCCTGTAGGTTGAACTTCATAGCAGGATTTTCTGGATTTCACCTCTGAGGAAATGAGATGCTCCATGGAGTGGAGCCACTGCAAGTTCCTGTTCCACGAGATACACAGCACTGCAAGCAGACACAGCATCGTGGCAGCTGTAGAGCTTTGCTTGGGGAAGCACATGTAACTGAGGTGGTTGTAAGATACGTGTCCAAAAGGTGCTCTTAGAAGGATTAACTGCTTACAGCTGCGAATACCACACAACTTTTTCATGGCCAGTTGTAGCCTCCAGTGTTATTCCGAAGCCCTGGAAGTGGGACGTGTTTGCTTCTTTTCCTGATTTTTACTGTGAGGTGGGAAATAAATTTCAACCTTTGAAATTCCTGGCTAACTCTAGAAAAATCTCCAGCATGGCTCTTCCTTGTGTTTGGAAAGAAAGTAGTCCTTCATGCATAGACATCTCTCTTTTGGGACACTTGGCAAATATTATTTAGCTCAGCCTCCAAGTCTTCCTGTAAAGTACATAAATGGCTTTTATTTTCCCCTTTTTAATTTTCTGTACTTTTTTATGGTTACACAGACTAAATAATTCTGCAAGCAGGCAGTAATGGAACTGGAAACACTGTCCCGCTTTCTGACTTTCTCTCCCGAGGCATAAAACCAAAGACTCTTCTTATTGCAAGGAAAACGAGTTAGGAAAAAAGATAGCTCCAAAATAGAAATCTTGCTTGAAATATGAGACTATGCCTAATGTGGGAAGTATAGGGATAATACTGACTTTGTTATGCTTATAAAATAAATGCAAATTTGCACACTCAGAACCACGAAAAATTACTTGGAAAACACTAATATTTTCTCAGAAATTATACATTTCCAACAGCTTCCAAGGATTTTCATTACTTTCAGCATTCATTCATACGTTGAGCCTCTCTTCTGGTTGTGAATTGGTATTTTAAGATGCAGAGAGGGTTAGAGATTATACCACTCTCAATATCTGCAATGAAATAATTGTAAGTATGTCTGTGCTAGTGATAAATCTTCTTAGTGCTGCATGGAGACAGATCTGCTCGTAGAAGATTATTGGGATACATTTTCTGCTGGTTGTCATGACAATCACAAATCCATGCAGCTGCACAGCAGTGTATTAATCTGTGCGTGCAGTTTAATCCCGTTTCCAAATTAGATCATCAATACTGAACAGATAGATAACAGCTGGTTTAAATGCTGTCTGTTCACTTCTCTGAAAATAGCACCCGGAGTCCAGCCAGTACGCCTCCAGTTTTCTAGGAAAGACATGGTATTAAGCCATGGAGCAATTTGCTGCTGTAATAGCCGTGTACAACTTGGCTCAGTGTCCCACGTCCCGTATTCTTCAGGTGTTAATAATTAATGCAATTTTTCTCAGTCTGAATTATGATGTCATTTTTGTTTTAGAAATGATATCAGAAGTTTAAGGACTCGATAGTCCCTCATTAAGAGAACCTAGTTATTACACTGTGTAGCAATGCATGCTGATGCTGTCATGACCTTTAAAGCTCTTGTTGCAAATTAAGGAGGTATTTAATCTGAAAGGAAGTTAAGAAACACGAGTATTCCCTGCAAGGCAGTTAGGGTGTGCTTGAAAACTCATCTGGCATTGAACAATTCAAGACAACTACTCCTGGTGTGTCTTGAACCTTCTTTAATTATTTTATAATTAGTGTATTTTATTATTTTGCAATTATTATTTCAATATTATTTCCGTTATTATTTGCAATTATTACTTCCATAGCTTTTCGTGTAGTTTGCTTAAATGTACTTGTGAACTTCAGTGTTTGTAAAAGGTTTCATGAAGTCAAGGTAATCAGGCTCAGTTCACGTGGCCTCTTCTAGGGGCTGTTTGTGTAAAATGTCAGCCCTGTCCTGCACACCAGGCCCATAGATAATGCAGTTTTCCTTAGAGCACACTTGAAAGAATCAGCTTTCCTTAGTCCTGCAGGAGTTGATTGCACTGGCAGTTGTCTTCTCTGCCCTGCCAGGCCACCATGAATTAATTGTGGGCTGAGAGGGGCAGCATGAAAGTACGCTAATAATTATAGAAGGATAATCTACCAGTGCTTCTCGGTTTTGGTTTCATTTTTATGCATGACAGAGCAGTGTAAGTTTGGGTTTTTTTCCATTGGTTACGGATTCCATAGAATCCTCATTTGGTTTTGCAGAACTCAAGCTGAAGAGTCTCTTTCAATAAATAATAAATAAAGTTCCACTTCTCTGGCCAAGCATGGCATTATTGCACTGAAGGAGAGCTGGTCACTTACCAGCTTCAGTAAATATAACATTTAAGATGAGTAATCAGTGTTTAATTTCCAGTGGCACATTTTCATTGGCATTTAAAGGGAAGTCTTTCTTTACTTACTCTCAGCAGTGCACAAGGCTGTTTGAGCTATCAAGCAGCATGCCAGAGGTGCATAGGGATTTCAGTTTTCCAGGGATGTTTAGCCAGGGATGTTAGCTTTTCAGAAATAATACTAATGCAAAGTGTCAGCTTCCACAGCATATCGATGACAAATTTTTATTTTAATTTGAAGTGTAATCAGCTCCATTTGGCCAAGATTTCTCTTGACAGCAGTTCAGTTGCAATTAAGATTGACAACTTTTTTCATAAGTAATGAAGATTTGTAAAGATTTTATTTCAGTACCTTCTTGCTTATTCTTCCTTAGGGTTTTGCTTTGGGGTTTTTTAATCCCTTGTGCTTTTTTCTGTCCCAAACCCCTTTTGGTTTCTTGATATCGCTTGAAACAGCTGATATCTTGCTAAGTAGAGAAAAATAAGATGCAGGTTTCCCTTCAGAATCAAAGCATAGGAGCATCAGTAAGAGCTGGGTTTGGCCTTTTTCCCAGATGCGGATTATATCATCCTCTGTGCTGGTCTCTGATGACCCTGGATTCAATGACAGCCTGTATTAGGGAGGGTTCGAAACATACTGAAACTTGAAACCATGACACCATTAGAAGCTTAACAAAAACCAGTATTTATTACCAAGAGGTGGCAAACAAAACGAACAAACCCAAAAGGGAGGAAGGAGGAGAGAAATAAGCCCCCAGCACGACCTCCCCAGTTACCCAGCTCTTGCCCATTAAGTTACCTTACCGACCTAGCATGCCTATAGTTACCCATAGCAGAAGCTGCATCCTTGGAGAGTCAGTAAGTTCACAAAACTGGCAGGCGTCCCCGCCAAAGGCAACGTTGTCCTTGGTGTGAAGTTAGCTCCCCCCAAGAAAGCACTATCTGCTTTTTATACAATTAACTGAGTGAACACAACCTCCCAGGTGTGGCCAGCACTGCCCAGCCCGAGGCCCTCAGTCCCACCTCCCGGTTATGTCAGTGCATCTCTTCTGTGCACTCATGGCATTCCCTGCACCTGCGTACTGTACTCTGGGGGGTCTTTTCCAAATGAGTCTGGGGGCATCCTTCATCCTCCTCCTAAATCTCTCCTTCAAGCGACCTTGGAGGACAACTAGCCAATCCCAGAATACCAATTAAAACAGTTTGTACGAGAAGCTCTCTTCAAGGACAACTTTCTGGTTTATCAGTGCTTGTTTTCCCATAACTTGGCAGGGAAAGAGCAAAGCTTTCACAGGTGGCAGGGCCAAACACAGACCAAAAGTATCAGCATAAATTCACCCTGGTATACCGCCTGAGAACATGTTTGGTAGAAAAATCAAAGATTGAACTTAAGAAATACCTGGAAACTAGCCCAACAAATGACATGAATATTTAGTCATTAAGCAAATTATATTGAATATATAGGAATAGAGATTGGTGTTGCCAAAAATTCTGTACTTAGCAGAACAAACTCATTGTGACTGAGGCTTAATTCTTGCTAAACATCACATTATTTGGGTGTCTCACACAGAGCTATGCTCATAAAGCCTGATGTTGAGAAAATATTTTTTAACTTTTCTTCACATGAGGGGGTGATAGTTTCATGCATAAATTTTGTGTGTAAATTGCTGCATGGGTCTGCATCACAGTCAGTGAATTGTCTTCTGTGCAACCTTTTAGAAATTTACTTTAAAGGCGCTTATGGGTTTTTTAAGGCATGCCTGTAGGATAGTTGAGCAGTGGTAGTGTTCTACACATGGAAAGACTGCATCTGAAACCCTTCTTCAGGGCTTAGGACAGGGATTCAAATACACCACCAAAATCTGAGTAGGTGTTCCAGTCATGAGGTTATTTTGTGGTAGCTCTTTTGACATGGGTTCTGTTGGGTTTGTTTTGTTTAAAAACATGTGGAAGTTGTTTTATTCCAGATGTGGAATAACTTCATGTTCTTAAAAGAAACTAAATTGCCTTTATGAGCTCCACATAACCAACATATGGGGCCACACAGGACCTTTACTGAAAAAGATACTGTTTTGGGACATCGAATCTTGGGCTATTCATAGGGAAAAGACAATATCAATGAAACTGAAATGGTATCAATGACAATGGTATCAAGACAATGGTATCAATGAAACTGAAAAGTGGAGCCAACACATCAGTAACTCACCATAAGAATGTAGCTTCCTGTACAGATGTGTTGTTTCAGAAATTGTTTCCTTCAGAGAAGAGCCTGTCTTGGCAGTATCCTTGTTTTGTTCTCGGTTATTTTTCCTCTGTCCAGTCTGATCTGAGAACTTCTTAATGATAAAAGCCTTTATGTGGCTGGATGAGTATACTAAATGATTTTGAATGTGCTGTATTGCACTGGGCTGCCCACAGTGACAGTGACATTTAACTGGAAATTGCTCCACCTGTTGACTTGCAATATCTAGGGGTGAATGGGAGAAGCTGTTTCCATTGACCTCCACTCCATGCTTTGCTCTCTTCAGGCAAGTGAGGAACAACCACTGGCAGCCTGTTGGGAGGGAAAAGCCAGTGATAACAGCAGTGAGTGCTTTGGTGGTAGTCAGAGCCAGTGTGGGAAGAGGAATTGCGGCAACCCCCAGTTCTCTGGCAGGTTTTCCTTGGATATCGCACATGTGAGTCTGTGGTGGCTATCTGCTTACATATGTGTCTGTGTGATAGGTACATTGTAAGATATAATTGAGTGTGGGATCAGAAGGATGTAAAACAGAAATGTGGAATTAGGGCTGTAGTACAGGGGGAAAAAGTTGAGTGAGAACCCTTGAGGTTACGTACTTTTATCTGACCCTGCTTTTGTTTTCCTGGTTCCATCGAAGGAGCATATGTTTCTCTGATGTGTGTCCACACAGTGAGAAAGGCCTTCTTCTCATTTGATGTTACTATTCAGGTCACCTTAGAAACAAGTGTAACTATCTGCAAATGTGAAGAAAAATGCTGAGAAAATTTTAAAGTCAGAGCCAGTTTTGGTGAATGCATTCAGTAAAGGAGCCTGGGCTTTGAAGTCTTGCTGACTCAGCAATGGTCTTGATGTTGTGGCTGGTAGTCTACACAAAATGGTGCTACAGAGGAGCCTGGTTCCTGACTGCTACAGCATGAAAATGAGAATCAATTCCTTGATTATATTGGAGCCTTTTTCCACCAAGGACCTGAGCTTCACTTGGTAGATACTGAGATGACAATTAGGTGTAATACAGTTCCACAGAAATTTTATGCTTCAGAAATACTTTGTGAAGACTCTCTAAGTTTGGCAGCTTTAGCAATGGCAGTTCACTTTTGATGTTGGTCTCTGCTAATCCTCCCAGTAGTAAATATAGCGTGGTGTATGTAAGGGATCTCAGGGCTCTGAACAAACACTGTCTGCCAAGGTCTCTGGAATTTTAAAGTTTATTTGGACTCTCATTCTGTTTGTATTTGTAGTCAAGTTTTACACTGCTACCATAATTTTCATAGGTGTAAGACATTCTGCTAATAGAGAGATTGACAAATGTGTTTCAGTACAGAAGTGATATGGAGATGCTCAAAAGATGTCTGGTTTTTGTCTGAATCTTGAAGCATAAACACTAGGTCAACTGGTGAAACCACTTGAGGAAGGATGAAAAAATGCCTCTAGTAACAGTATTTTTTCTGTCTTCCTCGAATTAGTATGTTAGAAATCAGAATTAAAAGACAATCTAAATTATTCTGAAATAATAATTACAAGAAAACTTTGTTAGAACTGGAATTCTCATATTGGCTGAAGGAAGAGAACTCAGCTTCATCAGGCCATAAGTAAAGTCCCAGTATAAATTTTTTTTAATCTGATTCAGTAGCATTGCAGAACTTTTCAAATCTCAGAATTCTGTCTTAAATTTACTGCTGTAATAAGAAATTCAGATTTAGGAAATGTATTGTTAAGACTCCTTTACATGATGAGAAAGTCCATTGTTGGTACTAAAATAGGAAAGGTGAACAGATTCCTTCTTCATCACAAATGAGACTCCATTGTTTTAATTTCATCCATCACACTAGCAGTCTTGGTCCTTTAGCAATCTTTCAAGTTCGATTCCAACAATTTATGAAACTTTGTGGTCATTTTTGTGTGATTGTCTTGGGCATAAAGTAACAACTCATTAAAGCTGTTGGCTTAACCTGTTTACTTCTGTAAAGTGAACTGTACATACAAGCAGAAAGTTATGTGCATTTTTTGTTACTCTGGAAAAATATGTAAAACACCTTAAAGGAATATTAGGAGTATCCTCATCAGGGGTAGTAAGCAGAAGTTGTGGCATTGCCTAAAGTGAACAATATGTTAGTCTATGTGCACATTGCATTTCATTTTCATGAACAAGAATAGAGCATAGCAAGGGCAAGTTGCCTTTTTGCTTGGCTTTTGATTTAACTTTGCACACAAGTGGTGTATATGTTCAGTTCTGTATCATGTCTATGAAAAATTGTGGAGTTCTGTCTGGAGAGTGCAGGGAGTGCAGGATATCAGCTCGATGCTGGCTTTGAGATGGGAACAGGCTTTCAAATTAATGGTTCTCTGTTTTTTGAGTACATGATCACTGCCGTAAATAACTCCATCCTTGCCTTTCGAGTGGTTAGGGGTACCCCCAGGTTTAAAATGAGAGACAGAAATGTATGAAGTTCTTTCATCCAGTAAACCAAATGATGCCAGCCCTGTGGTTTAGAGGTTATGAGAATAATCTCTTTCCAGTCCTGTTGAGCTCTGCATGGTGTCACCAGATTAAGTGGTGTGATTAGCTGGGTTAAGTACTAATTATATGAAGAGGATGCAAGAGACATGCGTTTTCTTTCTTTTTCTCTCTCAACTGGTGCTGTGGCACTGAGAAATGCTGCTGCCATGGAGAGACAGGAGAGTGAATATTGTCCATCAAGGTTGAGTCAGAGACCTTTGAAGGAACCAGAAGAAGCTCTTAATCATTGTGTTAGAGGCTGAAAAGCTTAGTGCCAGCAAAGCAGGCAGGTGTAGCTCAAGGCAGTGTTGACTGTTCACACATGGTACATCACCAGGCAAGATTAAAGGCAGTGTCATGTCTACTCTGAGATGCTTGATGGAAAATTTCTTCAAATACACCTCTTCAGAAGCTGATCGTGAGACTGCTTTCTGAGAGGCTTCAGGCTCTTAATGGAACTTGTTTGCTAGATAGAGGGTATAGGAGAGCAAATAAGTCAAATGTCCCCTCTTACCTGAAAGTAAAGATGTTACTGCAAATACTGCAAATGTCTTCATTTCCAGACCTGATTTCTGCTATCACTCTGTGGTGCTAAAACAATGCAATGTCATTTGTAAATGGCTGTGAAGAGTAAAAGGTTTTGGTTTTGACTCTGCAGTTCTTCATGATGCATTTTTTTAATAATCAGGGATGTGGAAGGGTGCCCTTCTTGAGAAGGGGTGAGAACTTGGCCTTTTACTTCCAGAGGCTCTGACTACTGTGCTCAGGCTGATGCCCTGCCCAGCACCTGACAAGTCAGAGTTTGTCCTGAGAGAATGTAAGCTTCTGGATTGCCAGCTGCACTTTGTTCAGATTTCAGGGCAACATTAAGCATTTCGTGTCTTATCTTGCTGGCCTCATGGTGTTAGCCTGTGTAGTTGGAAAAGCTGAACAGGCCCTTCCTCTGTATCTCTTGTTCCCATTTTCCTCTATTTGCAAAAGCTGTCCTAGAAACCTTAGCAGGTCTTATGACTTTATGTTTTTAAATGACATGTCACATGATCCACCAGTGACACTGTGTGTTGCCTTTAGTAGTACACCAAAGCATCATTGTGGTTTTAAAGTCATATTTTTTTCTCAGAATCCTTTCCTGCTGGTAATATAATTTCATGTGCATACCACTTAAACAGCAGTTGCATTCATAACTGTCTTGAAAAAACTCTCATCCAGAGGTTTTATAGTTTAATTATAATGATAAATGGAAAAAAAATATGTTGTGCTCAAGCAATTATCACCATTTAAGTAGTACAGACTCTTACAATTTTTTTACTCTCTCCATTTTTTTTCTCTTTCCTTTCTCTTTGTTTCCTAAACACTAATTATGAACTAGTTCCTCTGATTGTTTTCCTATTGTTTTTTTTTCCCCATTTTACAAAGTAAAATTAAATTAGAGTTTTTTCCCTTACATTGAATTTTGCTTCCCTCAGGCAGCTGCTCTTTCTTGAGCTGATAGAAGGCTGCTGGAAAGGGGTAGAGCATTAAGCAAATCCGGGATAGATTAGTCAGTGAATGAACCACTAGCAGCATTACATTGTCATCTGTTTAAAAATAGATTGCTATTTCAGAACTTTAGTCTGATAGGAATAGCTTATAAACTCTTCTGCATGTCTCTAGTCTCAGATGCATTTCTGGATTCTCATATGAAATTCTCCTGCAGATTTCTTCAAGGAGAAAATAGAGGGAAGGTGAGGAACTGGAGTATCTTACCTGTAGACTTTTAAATAAACGTGGGCTTTCAGATTGTATTGTGTGAATGATGGCTGTAATGGAACTGCACTGGGGGAGTGGATCCTTGCAGGGAAGATTATGGTTTAAACATGGTCTAAAATTTGCTTATGCTGTACTTCAGTGTATATTTGCTTTTTGCTTCTGTAGTGAACCTATACTTCCTGAAATCATGGAATGTAATTTGTATCTGTGTAATACCATAGAGTTACATGTAAGAATAGAGTTACATGTAACGATGTGGACTTATTCTTAATTTCCATTTTTCAAATTTGACAAAATCTTGTCCCTACACTTGAACATTGAATGTGTTACTCAGTAACATTTTAACAAAATATCAGCTGTCTTAGCTTTTGAGATGTTTTGTGGTCTTCTGTGTGGTAAGTGTTATGATCTTTTGTATGGCAGTTCATGCCAGATGATATATATTTAGCTGTTCCAAAAATCTTTGGAAAAACAGTTCCCTTTCCAGTGGATTTAATTAGAAAAAGTAAAGTAGGAAGAACACTGATGGGTTTCCTAATGCTGCTGGATACTCAGATTTGCACTGTTCTTTCTAGTGGAACACTGTTTACCTTCATTTTGACAATAACAATAATAATAATAATAATAATAATAATAATAATAATAATAATAATAATAGTCTGAGTTCAAGGACACATACTGAACAAATGCCAATGAGATTAGCTAATGAAATTAAATACTAGCCAAATGTATTAACATTAATATTTACTCAAGTCAGGAAAGGTTTTGCTGTTCAAATGTGATGTGAAAAGTAGGATGGTTTTTAGGGATTTGAGATGTAGCAGCTTTTTCTGCATGACTCTGCCTTTCAGTGAATCAGTAGTGAGACCTGTACTACTTGGCCCTCTGTAGTGTTCCTCTTTTGCACCTTCCGAGCCAGAAGGGTCTTGGTCTGTGCCTGCCCCAAACACTGGCAGCTTTCCCTGCCTTCAAACCCTGGCTTCTTTGCTGATCCTTGCAGCAGAGCGAGGCAGTTGCCTAAACCTGTTGGTGTACAGCCTCCTCAGCACACACTGATGTATTTGAACATTTGGTTTGAGAGACAATATTATGGATTTTTCAGTGCTCCAAAACCAGATAAGTTTAAGGGGGAGGGAAAAAAAAGGCTTATAAAAGAGCCTAGGATTGCATGTGAAGCATTTAGCAGCAATACTGAAGCCACAGTCACAAAAGAAGAGTAAAATCTAGAGTTGTGTTCTATCTTCTTTGGGTTAATATCCCTCACTTAGGATCCTTACTATGCATCACAGCAGATTAAACTGAGAGAACAGCTGAATTTGCAGTGGGCTGTCTTGAATATTTCTTGCTGTCATTACACTTTTTCTCTAGATCCCAATTTCAAAAATACCCATCCTAATTTCACTCCTGTTCTCAATCCAGTGGAAAAGGAATCTTTAGTGGGCAAGAGATCTGTTATATCTTTTCAAATTGCTCCCTGAAGAATAATATCAACTGCTTTTCTTCTGCCCAGACACATTGAAAAATCACCTTATAAGTACTTAACCTTTTAGTTCTCAGTGCTTTTGAGGAGTGCATATAGGGTGATAAACTTGATTACATTGTAAGAGGTAATGTTGTTTCTATTTGCTAGGGCCAATCTAGTAAGTGAGAGTAGTGAAATAAAACTATGATAGGCAATCCAAACCAGAACATTTTCTGTTTTCCTTGTATGGAAATACATTTTAAATTTCTGTTCCTTGCAAATAATGTCACCTACTTAGCAATGCTTATCTGCCTAAATATACAATCATTTTCTTGATATGAGTAAAGACTGATTTCTTCTGTGATTTCAGTGGGACTCAAAGTATTGCCTATTTCTTACTTCTTGTACTACAGTTTGCTTTTTCCAGAAGATTTGTTTTATTTTCACGGAAAACTTATATGTCAAAATCATTTTTAGTGAAATAACTGAATTAGATGTGAGTTTTTTCTGTTATTTAAAAGGCATCTCTGTTGACTTTGAATACATGTTTAATGGAAACTGATTTTATCCTAGAAGAACAGTTTCAAGGCACATTGACCAATTTGCGTTATACCTCAGGAAAGGAAATAACATAGACTGGCTGGGTTAAAGTTTTGAAAGGGTAAATTTAATTTCAAAAGACAGTCAGACTTCAAATTATTCCCTCCCATGTATTTCAAAGACCTGGGAAATCAATGGGCTCTGCTAATAAATTCTTTTTTTGTCTTTGCTTTTAATGCAATTTTCTGCACAATTCAAAGACAAAGTAATTAATTTTAATTTTCTTTCTAGCTGTGAAAGGATGAAAGGGATTTTTTTCCCCTTCATTTTAGTTTCTACTTCACAAGTATTGATGTATTAGCTTAGTATTGTTTGTGTTGCATTGATTGTTATGCATTGATTTTCTTTTCCATATACCCTAAGCACTCTACAGACTGTGGATTTGATGTGAGGCTCCACCAGGTGGGCTGCACCCAGCCAGTGTTGGTAGGGTTACGTGACCTCTGAGTGCTGAGGGCTCTGTGCATCCTTCCTTCATCTCTCATCCAAGAGCTTATGCCAGCCAGTCACCTGGGGAGGTGGAAAGGTGAGTCTGTGCTGCACCCTGATATCAGTGTGGCATGAACTGCCTGTCAGTCCCTGGTGGGTCTTGTGAGTCAAACTGGAGCGCTCCCTAGACACAGCCAGTCACTGCCTAAAGATCATGGAAAGATCTCTTAAGGCTAGGTTACAGATTAGGGCACACCAGTGTGTTTTTCCTCAATCTCCTATCTCTGGTTTTGGCAAGAAGGAAGTTGGACTAAATGAACATGGGAACTTGCTTGGATCTATAGTTTTCTTCTACGGTGACCTGTGCCAAGTTGTGCTTTCCACGCTCCTGCCTGTATCTCGTCAGCAGCTCTGGGAATAGGCTGATCAGGTAAAATCCTTGAGAGATCAGGTTCCATCAGTGAAATAACTGTGTTTGTCTTTAGGGGTCCATTCCAGAATGAGTGTGGGATCAACCCAAAAGATAAGGGTTTTCAGTCTTTCTGGTGCAGTTGAGGACACTTGAGCAAGCATCCACATGTATCCTGCTTCAGTATGCAGGGCTCAGGCTTATTAAACTTCTAAATAGGTTTCAAAGTCCATTGTTTTCTCCTCTGAGTTACAATTGTAGAATTAAGTTGTAGGCAAGAGTTAGTGTGTTCTAATGTGGAGGGGTGGTTTTGTGGCTGTTTTTTCCTTTTTACATCAGAATTGTTGTTTTCTTGGTTTGATAACAGTGTGTACAACAGACATTCTGTTGTGGTGAAGGAGTCAGTACAGTTTCACATAGAATCCACTGAAGGTGTTTATGTTCTGTTTCAGCCAGGGCTGCTGCATATGTTAGTATTCTGTATGTGGAAAAACAATGCCATGTCTTAGCATTGTTGGCAAGAATATTCTTGGTAAGAATATTTATAAGGCTGAGAATGATAGAATCATTTAGGTTGGAATATCCTTAAGATGATTAAGGTCAACATGTCATGGTTTAACATTGCAGTGAAGTTTTCCCCTTGCCCCTGCTCCAGCTTGGACTTACTCACAGATCACAGGATTGTACCTGCTTGGAGTGGAAGTTTATCTCTGAGCCAGTCTCCTCAGAGATATATATACCTGCTCTGGGAGAGACTTATCCACAGCCACAGTGGCTTTGAAATGCACCATAATCCCTTTAGAGGCATACTAGCTGTGGCACAGTCATAACCACAGATGCTTTGAGATGCACCTGCTCCCACATGGACTCATCTGCAGGTCACAGTCTCTTCAGCTCGAGTTCCCACAGGAGTTCCAGCCTGTCCAGCACAGCAGCACAGGAACAGCAGTGATGCCTTGGTCACCTGCCAGCTCAGGGGCATCACTGTGGCTGCCATCAGTGTTCCCAGGCACAGCAGGAAGTTGATAAGAACAATGTTCATCATGTCTGGTTTTCGTCAAACAATAACTGGCAAACTGAGTCATGGCTGGGCTTCGTGAACGAAGATTTGGGAAAGGTCTCTACCCACGTTTGTCACAAGCGCGCTGGTGGCTAAAAAGGCCAATACAACTGCATTTGTAGAAGATGTCAATACAGGGCTTTGCAAAAGTGGGTAAAGCCTTCATACCTGCGCAGTGGATTTTTTAGGTGAGACACAGTGTGTGCTGAACTGAGCCCACCCTTTAATCCTGAGGTTCATCTGCCGGGGCCGAGCGAGCTTGGACGGTGGCAGCGAGGTCCTCAGGACGTGGGTTTAATTAGAGTGACCTCTTAGATGGGTAAGGCCAAGGGCAAACTGAGTGCTATACCAACTAACTGCAGTAATTCTGGGATGTACAGAAATGGGTGGCATGTGGCCCTGGGCAGAGAGAACAAGTTGTTTCTGGAGGTTCTCTGCTGTTAGTATTTCCTCCCACTTGATCTGGGAATATACAGGTCTGCATTCAGCCTGTAGCTGTGCTATATTTTGTGTTTTGAAAAGTTGTTTTGTTTTTTTTTTAACAACTCCTATGAAGCTCAGGGTTGTGTTTTATATAGGCACTCTGTTTTCTGGCATTCACAGAAGTAAGACTGAGAGTGCTTCTTAAATCAAAAAATGTGCTCGGGGCAAACCTTGAAAAAATGTTGATTTCCTTTGGCCACAACAGCTGTGCACTCAATATTACTGTAGCAAAAGCAGAAAAGTGGAGCTTTTATTTTCCCTGTGGTGTCTGGCTGCACAGCAGAGCTTTTGTGTCGTGTGTGGTCTGTGGTACAGGTATTGTGAACTGTTCTGTCTTTTATAAAAGATAGGTCTTCTATACACAGGAGATTGTTGGTATTTGCTTGCAACAACTGTACTTTCAAAGCTATGATTAAAAAAAGGGGACAATATTTTTCCTACAACTGACAATAAAAAAATCCCTGCTACTTTAAATTCAATTTGGTTCTGGAGTTGGCTCATGGTGCATATAATGTACTAAGCAGGAGACATGCTGTTCTTCAAAGGAATTTACACAAATTAAGCTAATTCCCTACCCTAGGGAAATACCTTCAAAATCTTCATCTCCTTGGGCTAGACAGCAGAGGGCCTGAAAAGGGAACTCTGGTGAATGTGTTGCAATATCCAGTGGCATCCTCATAAAAACCCTGTTACTCTGAGGATTTGAGTGGTAGGAGACCCTCCAGTGTGGCTTCTTTCACATTCACTATAACAAGAGCTGCAGCAATTTTAGCATTCAAAGCTGAGTGGTTTTTTGCCTCTCTGAAAGACAAGCTTAATAAGAGAGACCAATTTGCAAAACACAGTGCTTGGAGCCTTGGTCTAGCTGCTTGTGTGTTTTCATATGCTCCATTCAAAGCTTCTTAAAACCAAGTCACTTATATGTCACATATATCTGTCAAGATGGGATTTTAGGAACCAAAGTCTGTATATCCAGTGATCTCTCTCTTGGTTTGATCCTTTTTGCTTTCATTCCGAACTTCCTTAGAGTTGTGATGCAGGGTTTAAACTGAGCCTGCAGCTGAAGCCTGAGGGTATTTAGCAGTTAAAACAGTACTAGAATGTCAGTTTGAAAAACAAGGTTAAACAACAGCAGTGTTGGGCTGGCACAAGTCTTAAAGGATTGATACATTTGTTCACTGTCTTGTTTTGCTTTTTGTAGTGGTTTTGTTTTGGTTTGGTTTGGTTTGGGGTTTGTTTTCTTTTGATTGTTTATTTTGTTTTTTAAAGTTATTATTTGGGCAGATAAGTTCTCCTGAGGTTCTTCAGGTCACCAGTCAGCCAGACTGGCAAAAAAAAAATTAAATTATTGTCCTTCATTGTATTTGGATCGCTTCTGATTTCCTTGTTTTCCCTTCTCTCTTAGAATTTCTTTTACAGCCAGTGCCCTTTTGTGTGATATCAGGGTAGATTTTACTGGTTTAGAATACAGGAAGGAATGTAGGCCATAAATAGATGGCATATATTCTTCTAACACCAGAAATACTGAAATAGCTCATCTCAAAAGACAGGGAACACCTCACCCATTGGCCAGATGCCAGGAGGTTACAGGATTGACAATTAAGTGGCAGGCCAGAAAGGCAGATTAATGGTAGGCTGTGCTCTAAAAAAGAGCATGTTGAGCCCCAGGAGAAATTTCCGCAGGAGCAAATTCAGGAAGAATTCAGCCATATGCTGATGGCTTAAGGCAGTTTTGCCTTTCTCTTGACTCCTCTATCCCCACAAGGTTCTGGCATTCCCATGTGGTGTGTTGGTCCCCGTGATTCTCATGGAATGGGCTAGCTGCCTTCTCTGCCTTAACCGAATGTATTCAGGAGGGGCTCGTCTGTACAAGTCTGTTTGAAGGAAATCCTTCTTATACAGTCAGCCCTTTCTGCACAGCCAGGTAACTGCAAGGGCCCTTATAATTTTTGCAGAAGATAGTCTTTAGCTGGGTGACTTTGACTTGATGCTGAAAAGGCTGGCATTCATAAGACTGAGCTATCCAGACCCTCCTGTGGTTTTTTTTTTGTTTGGTGGGCTTTTCCCCACCATTAGTAGTTCTGTGTTTTTCCTTTTGCAAAGCAGGATTGCCCATACCTGCCATTCTGGAGTGCTCAGAGCCATAAATTACAGCTGTTCTTTGGTAAGGTGACACGGATGCCACTGCCCATCCAAAGACACTTATTTAAATAATAGCTTGTTGTTTGTACATGGGACTTCTGACATTGCTCATGGAGTTTTCCAGGCTTTTGTATGGACAGCCTGTGCAGCTGTGGTTATCCTCAAGCTCACAGAGCAGAATGGGATCAGAGTTCTGCCTCTCTAATGTCTGCATTGCTGTGGCAGTATAGAGCAGATGAGTGGTTTTCAAAAGCCCTGCTCTGCTACAGTGCTGTCCACCACAAAAACTGTGAAATACAGTTGAGTTTCATATAAAGAGTTTTTTATTACCTAAAATATTTTTACAATTGTCATGTGAAACAGGTTAAAGCAGAAAACAACTATGGGTCAGAATTCAGGCAATCCTGCAAGAAATCATCCTTTCCCCAAAGGGAGAACAAACAATATAAGAAGCATTCCTGGTTCAGAGAAGTGGCAGAGAGAGTGACAGACACCTGAGGTGGTACCTCTGACCTCTCTTTGTCTTGCTCACACAGGAGATCAGGGGAGGGGGTGTGGAGGGCAGCTCCACCTGGCAATGTCACCTGCCCTCTGCTAGTGCAGCACCTTAGCTGACTGTCTACCTGAGCCCCAGGCATTGAGTTACTGGTCTAATTTACTCCCCCTCAGTCTGGTGAATCTGTCCTGGCAGTCAGGTGTCTCCTGTGTTCATCAGTCGGATGTGCTGCAGGCTGAGAGCAGGGGAGGTGAGCTCTGCACTCTTAAGAGCTTTCATACCCAGCTCATCACCCTCAGGCTGCATGATTAGCAGTTGCTGACCAACTCCTGTTTTCCAAGGTTAAAGAAGAAAGGTAAAGAAGAAAATAGTGGTGTGCTGCTTTAAAGGTAAGTCATGCTTGTGTATTTAGAGTAAGGACTTCCACGTCTGTGCTGCCAAAGTTAAACTGGTGAAATGGTATGCAGGAGGCTGTCATGTAGTGAAGCATGTGGCTGTTATGTAAAGGTTTTAATTACTTTCTTCATCTGTCTGCTTAGGAACACGAGATGTCTGGCAAAATTTTGAGAAGGCTCAAGGCGTTAAAGAAAGCTCATCTAAATAAAGGAGAATTAACGTGACATTGCAGTTACTTAATCCTTTATTGTCCTGCCATGTGACTGCAGGGATACTAAGGCGCAGCACTGCTTTTGCCTTTCCTGTCATCTTCTAGAATTAGGTGCTTCATTAAACCCACCATGGGAAGGAAACAGAGGGGCAACGAACTTTCTACAGCAAGGCTTCAACACACAGTGACATTTCCAAGGCACAGTGACAAGCTCACAGCTGAAGAATGAATCAAAGGCAAACCCTACAGCCAGCTCTTGGACTGGTACCAGAATCAAGTAGAACTGCGCTCTTAAGGTCAGCTATTCAAAATTAACTGGAGGTATCTGAATTTATTAGGAGCAGTTAATCAGTTTTCTGTTTGACCTTTATCTATCAAGTTGGTTTTCAAAGCATCAAGCTAAAGCCTGAATATTTGTGTCAAATATTTTCCATGTGTCAAATGTACTGTATAGACACTGAGCACCTTGCTGCTTTCTTGCACAAATTTTGCAGTGTTAATTGCAAAGCCTCTTTGACCTTGTAGCTGAAGATCCCAACGTACTCACTCTGTGAGTGAGAAATTGATGTATACGGCTTCCAGTTTATCTCTGATTTTGAACAGGACATGTAATATGCAGATTAGGCAGATATGTTTTTTAAGTAATTTTCAAACTAATCCTTGGACTTTCCATAAACAGCTTTTTTTTTTTTTTGCTACATTTGTCACAGTTTCTATTATGTGCAGGATTGCATATTCACTCAGAATTACTTCATTTAAGCTTGTTATTGCGACATCTTGTTAATGGGGAAGTGATTACCCTGTAGACTATGACAACAGGATATGTGAATGAAGGAGGTCATGGAAAACACCGCTGCTCCAGGTGGAATCATGAGGATAGTGGAGAAGATGATGGGCACCCGGAGTGCTATGGAGGAGATGAAGAGAACAGGCAGCACAGGCTGACCCCATTTGAGAAACTAATGCAGGATATGTCTCACAATGAAAAAGTGGTGAAAGAATTAACCCTGGGAAAGAGAATTGCCTTCTATCGAGTCAGAGGAGAAATAGGAAGTGGGAATTTCTCACAAGTGAAGCTTGGAATTCATTCCCTAACTAAAGGTAGGCACCACTGCACTTTGAGTGCCCTTACAAACGGCCTTCTATGGAAAGAAAGGTGTTGCCTGAACTTAAATACATATATAGTTTGTACGTGTCTTTTTAATGTTGCTAAGTGAATCTGTGGGCAGTGTCACAGAAAAATGGTTGAGGTTGGAAAAATTTTCTCTAGATAGCAACCATTACAAGAAAAGTTCATCACTGCACTCCCTGGTGTTAACATATCTCATCCCATGGTTCAAACACTCCACACTTTAAAGCATGTGTTGTGCCTCCCCTACTACAACCTGTCCTGCCAATCTGTCCTCTTCCCTGCCCCAGCTCATGGGCTGCAGGGCTACGGGTGGTGAATGCCCACAGCAGCATGGCTGGGCATGCTCCTGCCTGCAGCCAGACGTAGCAAGGCTTCCTCTGTTTCATCACAAATAGTACTACTATGGACCAAGATTTTATTTGGTCACAGTAATTTTGGTGACAACTGTTATGCCTGCTTTACAGAATCATTTGCAGACAGCTGGAATGGGGCTATAGGTGTGGGCTGAGCAGGTGCAAGGAAACAAGCTCTGGAAGGAGAGTCAGATTGAGAAAAATGCCACAATAGTAAGTGTACAAAGATGCAGAGAAAACTAGTCACCCTGATGGAAAACAAGAACAATTTCTATTATTGACAGACAGGGGCAGAAGAAGAAATAGGACAGTTGATGACAAGTTCTTAGTTATACCTGTGACTGAAGTGTCCACTGCAGTTACCTAACCCTTCTAGTCCTTCACAGAAGATAGGGTGCTTTTCTGTGTTTAAGCCGAGAAAAATACTTGACAATTCAACACAAACACCACTTTGGCGATACCAGAGCTTGCTTTTTCAATCTGATTGACTGTCCTTCCTTCCATCCTCTTGTAGGTGAGAGAACAAGATATGCCCCGAAACCTGTATTATCTCCCATTATTTTCTCTGACTGCCTCTTTCAGCCCAGACTTCAGAGGGTGAGAACTTGTGTGCAAGAGTTGTTGCACTGGGAATCTAAGTGGAGAACTAATGGTTAATTTTTCACTTTTAAGCCTGCCTCTGTCCAAGGGTTGCTTTAACTGGGTGTGGAGTTTTTGATTTTGCTTGTTTAAGAAAAGCAACTCAGTTCTACTTGGCCCATGGCAAGTTGTTTCCTCTTCTGTGATTTTTTTTTTCTTCCAGAGGTAACTGTCTTGTACTTACTGCTGGAAGAAATTCTGCTCCTGTATCTGGAGCAGCAGGAATGCTAATGAAAGGCAGTTAGAAATTTGATCTGGATGAACCCTTTACTTGCTGAACTTACTTAAAAAACAAGTTGCTTTAGCATTTGAATAGAATTGATTGAAAAAATTTGAACTTGGTGAATACAGTAAACTTGGACAAACTAAATACCAAAACCAAAACTCTTCCTTTTTCTTGAAAAGTTTCTTTTTCATCAGAAATCTCTCCAATATTTTTTTTGCTTGTTTGTAGCTTTTTTTGGTTAAAATGTTCATTGGGCAAAGAGTTGATTTCTTGATACTAAATTTGCAACTGTCATGAGGAAGGAAGAATAAAAGATAAGCATTTTCTGACTCGTCTCTGCCTGTGAGCTTATCTGTGCTCATAAAATACAGTACATAGACAGGAGAACAGGGACGTGCACACAGGCATGCAGCCATACCCACTCCCCACCCCCACAAAGAGGATTCTGTTTTTTGCAGTAGATGCACATCGTTGTATTGGTGATGATGTTCCTGCACAATGTTAATGAGTACTAGTCTTTTTTTGCTGATTATATAAATACAAAGGCTTCGTTATTAATGCTGTTTGGATCTCTGTGGTAGGGGGTGGTATATGTGTCAGGGCTGTTCAGCTCCTCAGTTACTACCACAGTGTTAAGTATGGTCTCTCTCCATACATGTCACCCTATATCAAACAGAGAAACAGTTTTGGCTTTTACTACCATGAGCCTTTGTAACAATTACACTGTGTGTGCTTTTCTGTTGTCCTTGTGGTCTGTCACAGCAGGACACATGATTTCTAGAGAGAGAGAGAGAGAGGAAAAAACTTCAGGATCTTACTGGATGACATACCTTGTTTCTCTCATAAGGGCTGTCTTGGCTGTTTAGAGAATACAGAAAAATCTGTGGTGCTGTGATGTGGCTTAGACAGGTGTGCTCCTCACTGGGTAAAAAACTGGCTGGATGGCTGGGCCCAGGGAGTGGTGGTGAATGGAGTTACATCCAGCTGAGGCTATCACTAGTGGAGTTCCCCAGGGCTCAGTGTTGGGACCAGCCCTGATTAACATTGTAATCAGTGATCTGGACAAGGGGATTGAGGGCACCCTCAATCAGTTTGTAGATGACAACAAATTGGCTGGGAGTGTTGATCTGCTGGAGGGCAGGAAGGCTTTACAGAGGGATCTAGACAGGCTGGATCGATGGGTTGAGGCCAATGGTATGAGGATCAACAAGGCCAAGTACCAGGTCCTGCACTTGCGTCACAACAACCTCAGGCAGCTGTAGAGGCTGGGGGAAGAGTGTCTGGAAGGTGGCTCAGTGGAAAATGATCTGGGGGTGCTGATTGACAGTGGCTGAGCATGAGCCAGCAGTGTGTCCAGGTGGCCAAGAAGGCCAAAGGCATCCTGGCCTGGATTGGCAGTAGTGTGGCCAGCAGGACCAGGGCAGTGACTGTCCCCCTGTACTGGGCACTGGTGAGGCCACACCACAAATCCTGTGTCCAGTTCTGGGCCCCTCACTGCAAGAAGGACATTGAGGAACTGGAGTGAGTCCAGAGAAGGGCAACAGAGCTGGTGACAGGTCTGGAGCACAAGTCTGATGAGGAGCGGCTGAGGGAGCTGGAGGTGCTTAGTATGGAGAAAAGGAGGCTCAGGGGAGACCATCTTGTTCTCTGCAAATACCTGAAAGGAGATTGTAGCCAAGTGAGGGTCATTTTCTTCTCCCAGGTAATAAGCAATAAGACAAGAGGAAATGGCCTCAAGTTGTGCCAGGAAAGGTTTAGATCAGACATTAGGAAAAATTTCCTCACTGAAAGGGTGGTCAAGCACTGGGACATGCTCCCCAGTGAAGTGGGAAGTCACCACCCCTGGAGATATTTAAAAGACATGTAGTTGTGGCACTTGGGGACATGGTTTAGTGGTGAATTTGGCAGTGCTGGGTTAACAGTTGGATGTGATGATTTTAGAGGTACTTTCTGATTTTATGATTCTATGTGTATTGTGATATTCAGGAGCATTATTCATTATATTAACCTGAATTTTGGCAGAGATTTTTTCCAGAAACCTGTGAAACTTCTTGCTAAGGACCATTAACATTCCTAAGCTCTGTGTAACCTTTATTTTACATGCTTTCCAACTGACAAAAGTAGTGTGAGAGCACACCTGAATAGATGCAATTAAGAGCATCCAAAATGTACAGCTAATAAAAAGTCAGTGTAATGTGAAACATGAATTGCAAAAGCAGAGATTTCCAGGCACCTAGTTTACCTTTTTTTTTAAGCAATTTTAACCTGGTTTTGTTTGTATTTTGTTTCTTTTTTGCCATCACAGCGAATACCACTTCCTCCCGAAATTATTTCTCAACCTTTTCCTAATTTCTCTTACTAAGATTTCAGCTAGCACTTTTCAAACCTCAGCATACACTGTGTATAGTCAATCAAACATCTTTCAACTCAGTCTTTTGGTAAATAAGCTGCCTGCTAAAAATGCCCTTCTGTTTAGCACTGCTGCCAAGCAAGGGTAATAGAGGATTTGCAAACAAATAATTTTTGGGAAGCAGAGAGGACTAGTTTACAAAAGAAAAGGAAGGTGTCAGGTTTCTTACCCTCTGGGTGGGCTGGGTTTCTTCGAATGTCATGCATTTGCAACTGCAATTATGTAGACTTAAAGGAGCTTGGTCCTGATTTATGGTGGTGTTTGAACAGGATCAGGCATTCAGTTGTAAACATTCTTCTTTTTCCCCCTGTTTCTTTTTAAAACGTTGCAGGAAAACTGACAAGGAGAAATAGTAGTTTCCAGCAAGAGGAAAGGGGAGAAGATTTGTTTTTTAAAGCCCAAATGACCCCAACTTTTATAAATCAAGATGTAATGATGAAATTGAATGGTTAAGATTGTGAGAATTGTTCTGCCTGTAGTATCTAACCATTTAGCTGAGTGAATGTAGCCTATTGCAAGCTGATGCTCATTCCTTGTGGTTTAAGAGATCAGTATGCTAGGAACATGACAAGGATTTTAGTCTGTCCCTGCTAGGTCAGCAGTCAGAGCGCTGCCAGGATGAGTGTCAGTAGCTGCATTTCCTCCCAGTTCACCACACAGGAGCAGGTACCTGCCTACCCAAGGAGCTCCTTAGAAAGCATGAAACAGGTCAGAGAGAAGCAGCATGGGGAAACTGCCCTGTACTTAGCACAGACTCCTGAAAACAGGCACGTCAAGGGGAATTCAGTACCTTCCACAAGAATCATATTTGCTTCAAGTACTTGCTGCACTTCAGTAGAGAAATCAATTGATGCATGTATGGTACTAAAAAATGTACATGTACCAAGCATGGGGTTTTCTTGATCTGTAAAATATATGCATAAGTATCCTTAACACTTCCTTTAGATATGTTGAAATACTAAACTTGAGTTAAAAACTTTATGTCATTAAGTAAAAACATCTTGAGTACTTTTATACCAGAACACATGTACGAATATAATACCCTTCTCACTCTTCTCTTACAGTAAAAAGTGAACAATACCCTTTTTTTTTCTAATTTACTCCCATGTGCTAGAAAGCAGGGTGAAGTTTTTTTCTGAAAGATTGATTAAAAGTGATTCATTGTTAAGAAATCTGTGATTGGTTGAGTAAGATATTTATTTCCAGGAATAAATAGTTGTTTTTATTGCTGTGATCCAGTTTAATTTTGCTGTCCTGACAAATTATACAAAGCCACTGTAAACCTGTTTTAACCAGACTAATCCTTCAAATACCAGCTGTATTCAGAACAGCAAAGACAAAGGCCATAACCTACAAACTAACAGAGAAACATAAGGGCAATTGTGATTGACCTCTTCATCCTGCTCTGAGCTACCCTGATGATGTGGTGCAGCTGCAGATGTATATCTGTGTTTTGTGGCTCTTGCCTTCACTGTAGATATGCTACAGAAAACATCTAGGACTTAACAGCAGCTTTGCATTACCAGAACAGCAATGCCAGCTAGGTTTGCTGTCTTACAGGATCCCTGCAGCGTACTCTGCTTCACTGTTTTCTCCCTTCCTCAGAATAAAATCTTGTGTATGATGTGGATTCATGGCCCACTGTGTCATCCAGACATAAAAATGTACTTTTCCTGTATTCTGAACAGTACCAGGAACTATTAATACATGAACACATTGGAGAAACTGGTACAGCTATCCTGACAAAGACAAACCTCAACCACACTGATTTTGCTAACTGAGAATTTGGAGGGGGATGAGAGAAGTAGTTAGGGAAGAGTTCTGTAAGTTGCATCTACTTCAAAATCTCTCCATTATAAACCTTCAGGCTTATAGCCAGGGCCTCTAAATTCCCCCCAAGTTTGTCTGTCTGGTGTGAAACAACCAAGCATTGTCGTAAAAAGCATTACCATTTGCACCTATTGCACTAATAGGTATAATTATGGTATAATGGAAAAATATCTTCCTTTTCAGAGAAAGTTGCAATTAAGATTTTAGACAAGACAAAGCTAGACCGGAAGACTCAGCGTTTGCTGTCTCATGAGATATCCAGCATGGAGAAGCTGCACCACCCAAATATCATCAGGCTGTATGAAGTGGTGGAGACACTCTCAAAACTGCACCTGGTGATGGAGTATGCAGCAGGTGGGGAGCTCTTCACTAAAATCAGTACAGAAGGAAAGCTGCTAGAAACGGAGTGTAAAATAATCTTCTCCCAGATTGTGTCTGCTGTGAAGCACATGGTAAGTTGCTCTTACACAGGCATGTTGCCCCCTCACTAGTCTTAGCAGATTTTGTGGGTGTATCTTTTGGTTTTCAACTAGTAGATTTACTGTTACCCAAGTTTCAAGCCCACATTTCTGAAAAGCAAAACAGCTGGAGAAGAGAATATCAGAGAGCTTGCACACCTACCTCGAGTTACTGCCTCTCTGTTAATAGCTTTCGGGAGGAGACTGAAGTGGGAACACTTGGTGGGTGGAATCATCCCTTTTGCAACAGTGTTCTGTCTGCTTTAAGGTGCCTGGGCACCAGTGAACAAAGCTTCATTTTTTCCCTCCACTTATTTCAAAACATGGGATTAGTCACCCTTCTGCTAGGACGAAGTGTTCCAGAGAGGCTTGTTAGGTTTGCAAACATCCAGCTTGCTTATTAATGAACATGGGAGTCTGTCACGTAAAGACAGGCCATTCCTGGTCCTCACTTTAGCGTGAGGTTAACACCCAGCAAGTCCCTTCCCCCTTGACTGGCCTTCAGTACCTGTACCTGGGATGATGCCGTTTGTGTAGAGCCCAAAGCATCTTGTAAAGGCAGAAAGGAGCAATTAACTACTTCAATACCATGTCCTCTGAACCTTGCATAGTAAATACAGGTACTTCAAACAACAGCATGAAAACACGGAGGACTGTTCTAAAAGTTTGACAAGTAAAAGTAGTATTCGTTAAAGTTGGCTCAGAGTGCCCTCCGGTGGCTCATGTTCTCTTGCCACATAATAGCCTCTGGTGAGGTCAGGAGCAAGGGTGTTCCCAGGTCACGCACTGCTCCTCTTACATAAACAGTACGCATTTTTTATATATTTTGACAAAATGATTGTATGTCCTGTAAGTGATGGATTAGCTCCAACACTTTTTCCACAGGACAGATACCCTGCAGCTACAGGAACTTAATTTACATTTCAAAATTACACCACGTCTATTTCTTAGAATTAAACCCAGATTACTGAGCTGGCCAACCTCTTCACTTGTACACACGGACTTCTGCACAACATTTTACTTTTGGTAAGACATCAAATCCAGACTGTATAAATCCCATCTGACTGCTGCCAGTCCACAACAAGAACAGAGAATCCCTGCCTGTTATTGACGTCAGTTGAAATAGGATGTCAAATGGTTTCCTTATTGCCTCCAGATACTGCACCTTGTTACTCTAGAGGGTAGAGCAGAGTGTGCTCAAACACATCCATTCCTTCTCGTTAGTTCAAAAATGACGCTAAACCCTTACCTAATCAAGATGGGTATGTTGTGACTAAGCAGAACAAATTCAGTTTGAGTCCTTAGCTACTACTACCATTTCCAAGGGAAGAAAGTAGAAGTTACAGTGAATGTATTTATTTTAGCTTTTTAAAACTAGAAGACACCACTAAACTTGGTATCCTGCAACATGAAATACCATGAAGCCCAAGTCTGTGGTCCTTTTCTCCTGCCACCACCAGTTCCTCATAGGACATTACATCACACAACACAATTATAGTAACTTTCTTACTCTATCTGTGATTGTGTTCACTCAGTGAACTAAATAAGCACTTATTTCCACAAGCTGTTACATGTAGTAACTGCAAAACCAAGTGTCGTGAACCCTGAAAAAATACTGATTTTGCACATGAAGGTATGTCTAGTCTTGTAGGATTAGCCATTCTGCCCTCACAAATTCGCTTCACAAAAATACTTAGTATAGTTGGGACTGCTGTTCTTAAAAAAATCCCAGCATCCTTCTTTTCCCCCTACTCAATTGGTTTTGTATCATTAGAGAATTAGGTTATATTTGTTTAATACTTTTTCAATTTTGTTGCAATACTAGTTTCTGACTTTGCCCAAGATAACTCCCCTTCTCCTGTGGGGTAACTAATCAGTTAGGGGTAGCCATTGAGAACAAACCAATACCAACTTCTCCTCTTGTCCTACAGCATGACAATAATATAATTCACCGGGACCTGAAAGCAGAAAACGTCTTCTATGCCAGTAACACCTGTGTTAAGGTGGGAGACTTTGGATTCAGCACAATAAGTAAACGAGATGAAACTTTAAAAACTTTCTGTGGCTCTCCTCCTTATGCTGCTCCTGAACTCTTCCGAGATGAAAACTATATAGGCATCTATGTGGACATCTGGGCACTAGGAATCCTACTATACTTCATGATGACGGGTAGCATGCCATTTCGGGCAGATACTGTAGGCAAACTGAAGAAGTGCATTCTTGAAGGGACATACACTTTGCCTCCCTGCCTCTCAGAAAATTGCCAGAAACTGATCAAAGGAGTCCTTCAGCCCATACCAACCAAGCGATACTCTGTCAAACTGATTATGAACAGCGAATGGATGCAAGGCATACAGTTTCCCAAACCTTTACAGACATTTAAACTGGATCCTAAGTATTTATCAGACATCAGTATGCTCAAAGAAGAAGAAATTGAAGTGAAAAATATTCTGGAAGATCTGGGAATCACAGAGCAGCACATTCAAAATAACCGGGGAAGAGATGCACGCAGCTCAATAACAGGGGTCTACAGGATTGTGCTGCACAGAGTACAGAAGAAAAGGGCACTTGAATCTGTTCCTATCATGTCCCACCCAGATCCCACAGAACAAGACTTGAGGAAAGCAATCCATTCTTACGGTGGGATTAAGCACACATCCAAGCTGTGTTCTATTTTATAAATTTGCACTGCAGACTTTATACTCAGCACATCTCACAGAGGGGATTATTCACTTTTCAAAGGGGATTATTGATTTTTCCTAAATTCTGGTGTTACATTTTTTTTATTTGTAATTTTAATAAACCAAAAATGCCTCCTCTTCTTTGCATTTCTCAAGTCACAGTGAAGCGCTCAAACACCGAGCTCTCATGCATTTGTTTGACCCTTGCTCCAGAGACATGGTATAGCCAGTGCAAGAACCCCAGTAATTGAAAGGATCATGAGTGGGAGTGATCGTTTAGTAAAGATCATACCACTGCATTTAACCCACTTGGAGATTCCTGGTACAGGCATGTAACAGCTAACTTCTGAAAAGCTGTATGTCAGCTTGATACAACTTTACCACTGCAAACCAGGACAGTTTTTGCACAGAACGAAATTTAAGCAGAGACCAGACCATAATCTAAACAATTGCAAATTCTTCTTTTGAACTTCCTCATCAAAATAGTTTTTAAAAAGCATTTTCTTTTAAGAAACAGCAATGCTGCTGTTGACGGCAGTTCTGTTTGTCATGATTCCGAAAGACAAATTAAGATGCAGTGCATATGTGGTTGCAATTCCTAATGCCTGACTGGTTGGACTACTATCAGCTAACCTTCTGACACCTTCCACTACTTGCATGATTCTGTCAGTTGGGAACTGCTTGGACTCATTGCACTTCAATAAAGAAAGATTTAAGTGTACTCCAAAACTCATGTAGTTTTAAATTCTTGCTGCAGCACTTGTTACCAGTAGCTGAACGCAGCCAGTAGCATTTGTACCTGCTGAGCATTGCAGGCTTACACTCACTCCTGCCCCGCTGCTTTGGCAACCAAAGCTGGAACAAAGATGATTTTGACACTTGGCCACTGCAAGTTAAAGTTGGATAGGCTGACACCAACAGTTGTTCTGAGCATCACCAAGATGTAGATGCTCAAATTTTCAGCTTTAATTGCTGATTTTATACTTTCACCTTCAACAGCATCAGCTCCAATGCAAAGGACAATGGTAGCTTTCTTCCCTGAACAGGGACAGCTGATCTGCTTAAGCTAAGATGTAGAGCCTGTATGACTTTAGTTAAGGTAAGATACCTGACAGAAGGTTTACATAGGTAGAGCTGGTGCTTTCAAATGTTAAGAGCAGGATGCCTTATCTATTATGAGGACTGATGGGACGATTACTTGACTTTGGAAGGAGTAATTAATTTAAATGAGCAACAGAATGAGTCTGAAAAGCCACTCCTGGGAAACTGGACTCAGTGAGGCTCAGGTATGTACAAAGCAAGAACTAAGCCCCCTTCGCAGATTTTCTGAGGGGGATAAACCAATACCATCTTCTCTAAGACAGTAATAGAGATTAAATTCCTCTGCTATAAACAGTTCCCATATGAAAGCATTTTAAGTTATCTTGAGACATAGCCCTGATGGAGTGGTTTTACACCAGCCTAAGTAACCCCTTCGTTTTGTTGGGAATGACACAAAGAAGACAGATCCAGAATATCCACACAGCCTGTGAACCCACAACTTCAGGTTTTCACAGAGCCAGTTTCCTCTTTCTTTCCTGTTGAAAATAAAGCGTCCTGAAAACCCAACAAGTCAGCACTACTCCAACAGGTTTCAAATATCTCAAACTTTATTTTAATAAAGGATCAGCCTCACAGACCTGGGAGGTCTCTGCCAGTAGCTCACTTCTTGGTTCGTCCACTGCCAGCAATGGACTTTGTTCCATGACTGTTTTCCTGGTGCCAAGATAAGTTTCACGAGGGCAATCTAAACCAAAATACTTGCAAACACTATCATCATGCATCATTGCTCCATCATTTTTAGCAGAACAAACAGATTAGTATTCATCAATTTATATTAAACAACTATTTTATCAAGGCTTGACCGCACAAATACAGCAAGTTATCAAGTCCTAGTGAGTGACAGGTAATACAAACACTTCATTACACACACAAAAAAATTGTGATTAACAGAGAAATAATTTTTTGCTACTTTATATTAGATAATGTGGCTTTGTAGAATTAGCAAAGAAATAAACTCAACAAAACTTAATCTGTACATTAGCTCAATTTAAATATATATATCTATATATATAGATATAGATAGATAGATATATATATTACAGGCTTAAAAGGCTCATGTCGTAGTTCATTTCCAATCTGGGCTTTAAAAATCTACCAGAATGGGCTCCCCATTACCACTTTAAATCTACTACTGGCAAAATGGATAGCTTGTTGGAAAAAAAAAACCAAACTAAACCAAAAGAAATAAAAGACGCTAGTCTACAGTATTAACAGTAGTGAGAAGGACTTCAAGGTACAAAGCCAAATTCAAAGTTAGAAATAGTCTTTTGGAAATGTACTATATAAAGACTAGTGAGAGGCCAGAGTTCTGGACAAACTGATGAAGATGACTCTCTTCCTTTGTTTGCCAATTACAACAGCTCCATAATGTCTAGAAGTTTTTTTTGAAAATTCTGCTGCCTTGGATACTTCTACTTAACAATCCAGAAAGGTGCCAAATCAATGATCCCATTTCTTTAGAAGAAAAAATTTACTACCTCCCTTCTTTTTCCTCTTTCCTCCCAGGCTGCTGTGACTTGCAATGCAGGTATAAAACACATAATATGGATATTAGGAGAAATTACATAGTAACTAACCCAATGGATAACAGAGTTTCTTCCAAGAAAACCACTTGTCAGCCTAGCTGTTCTTGATCCAGTAATTTTGAAGGGAAGAGAGATTCCATTCCAACAATGGATGTTACTTGGTTCTATACCTTTCCCAAAGCGATGAGGTGATGGGAGGCAGACTGGGAGAAGAAAGGGAAGGTGATAAAGTGAAAGAGAATTGCAGTATTCAGAAGACTGACTGCTTATTGTCAAGGCACTGAGAACCCTAACATTAAAAGCATGGACTAGTTTGCACACACTTGAGTACTGGTAGAAGTTAACAGTGTAGGTTTCAAGTCATTTTACATGGAAATAGCAGGCAGAAGATTTCTTTTTTTTTTTTCTATGTACAAAGACCTTGTAATAGACTACAGCTACTTCTCAGCAATTAAAAAAATTCAGACATGTTAAGGAATCCACAGAGGACCTAGCAAGTCCCTCTATCTCCAATATACTCCTTATTTTAGTGTTCTGAAAATACTTTAAAATCAGCACACCGTATTATGATGATTTTTTTCAAGGAGCTTAAACAGGTTTTTCACGCTCCAATGAAGTACTAGTGTACACTGAAACTTTAGCACTACTGCAATCCTTTTTCTCTCTCTCTCACCCTACCCTCACACCTTGTTTCTTTCCCCACCTCACAGAGGTATCTTAATGCTCCCCATTGGAAAGGGCAACAGTAACGCCTTCGGTTTCTGTTGTTGCAGGGATTCTTGGCACTTTCTTAGCAGGGCTTGGGATGTGCTAAGAAGAAGGGAAAAAAAACATTAAATACAGATTTCCAGTTCACATACATTCATACTTCATGGCTAGTCCAACTCTCAAACAACATTCATGCTACACTGGACGGCTTGGCCTAAAGTCAGTCAAATCGGTCATGCTTCATGCAAACAGATTGTGTGAGAGGAGCCAGTTTTGTTCTTGTTTCGTTCTTGTGCAGTTTCATTCTCTTTATGATGACATGTACTTTCTTAAAATCCCATGTTCAACTCTTTACTTCTGGCTTGTATGTTAGGCACGTTAACAAAGGATTTAATATAACTCGTTAAACCACTTCCTCTTAACATACATGCACATGCTAAGACAGACATGTAAATGGTTCCACCATTTACATCAAACTTTGAAAGAGTGCTGAGTGTTCACCTCATGAACAATGCCTGGGTGCACAACTCCAACTCTTGCCTCCAGAGGTCCATCACTCAGGAGTGGGCGCCGGGCGTAAGTTCTCCTGTGTTTTTCATCCACGCGCACGAGGTACCAGGTTCCTTCAAAGAGATCCTCTACTGAGCACTGTGGAATATAGTTGGCTGTAAAAAAGGGAATAACAGACTGTTAGTTGTTTCCTGGTGAGAGTTTTACTCAACACAGGCCTTTGCAGTTTGAATGCACTAAGCTGGAAAAAAAACAATTCTGGATTCTAGTTCAGCCACATAGGGCCAGCGAAGACAAGCTACTCAGAAGCAGAAAGGGTTGGACATTTCCTTCATTCTACACTCTAGTAATTTAAAGTCAGCTGAAATAAGTGATGAGCACTTTGCTGTAGGACTAGGAATGATTTATATTTATGAAGTTCTTACCCAAATGGTGTGTTTCCTGTCTGATCTTCATGTTTTCAGCAAAGACATCAGGTGCAATACACTTTCTTGAGTCAAGTCTTGCTTTGAGATCAGAAAGGCTGGCAGTTATTTTGTCCAATGCAGAACCTGCAATACAGAACCATCGTTTAAGGCACCACCAGTGCTGAGAACTGCACAGCAGGACATTAACATTTCAAATCCATTTGAAGTACTTTGCATTACAGAATCTCAACTGTTAGTCATTTAAAAGTATTCCCAATTACCCAATCAAAACATTAACGGAGTTTGAAGACTATTATTTGTTCAAGGCGACACAAACATTCCCCGGAGCTAGAACACCCTCAGTTTGGCAATGATGTCTTTAGGCATTGCTCTGCAGGTTTTATGATGCTGGTGGGTTGTGTAATAGTGTACTGAGAGTGAGTTGTGCAAGGGAGGTGGTTAACACCTCCTCATGTCACTCACCAGGAGTGGCATCCTGTGTGACCCTGATGGAATACAGGGTAGCAGCAAAACCAGAGCCATAGGAGAACACACTGATTCTCTGTCCTGCCAGCTGCTCTGGGGAGTACCTGCAAATCAAACAACAGCTTTTTAAAGTGAGAATTAAGCCCAGGTGTCACTTTTAAATAACTAGAAACTGCAGCTAGCTTAGGAAAAGCAGACAGCAAATCATATTGTCTACAATACACATTTACCTATGTGCATAAATGCTGACTTTTAAAAACACAAATTCAGATACTGTTATGTGATGAGTTCCAAAGCTGCCTAAGCAAAACAGAGCTGAGAAATGCACAGAGTATGATTATCTAGAAGGCAGCCAGTTTTCATTCTTAAGCGACCTAAAGCCTAAAACGAACAAACACATCTTTGTAAGGTAATGTCAGAATAAAGAAAAAGCGATCCAGGAAGAGTGGTTTAATTTAAACTTAACATGATTTTGTAAAAGGCTGTCATTGCAAAAAAATAATTAAAAAATGTTAAATGCTAATTTAATTTGGTTTTGGTTATAGTGAGACAAAGAAGACATTCTGATTCTCTTTTCCACTGCAGGCATTTTTCTAGGCGGAGGGAAAGGGGAAAAGTTGGGGCTGAGAAGAGACATCACCTCACAAGTAAGATCCTACTTTGGAAGGCAGTAAGCAGCTGTTTCACATCAGCTTCTGACACATTTTCAGTCTGCTTGTCACTTGAACTGAATGTGTGTGCAGAATAGTTTAACTTTAGTCTTTCTGCTCAAGGCAATCTCGTAGGAAAAAGTTTGCTAGACAGTGGTTTTACAGAAGTCTTTCTAAAACAAAAACCTTTTATGTCCTTATTCATAAACAGCTATGACTTTTTTCCAAATTTTATGCTTACTGGGCTAGAAGAGAGGCAAGGCAACCATAGACTGAAGGGGTATACATATTTCCATTCTGATTGGACACGAGTAATGAAGCTTTGGTTT